AACGTAAACAATTACACATCCAATTAATTTTTTATTTTGCCACATGCTTGGGTGATGATGAGTGATATCAGATTATATCAATATCACTTCTATCTAAAGGAATCTATTCACATAACATATGGCAGGCACTTAAAACCAAACACAGGCCAAGTTAAATAATATTCTCACTTTTACAAAGATGCTCTCAAAATGTCTCTAAATTTTGTCTTAAGTCATGAGTTTATAAACATAAAACATATCCCAAGTATTAGTTATAAATGTAAAATAATGAGATTAGTAAGTTCTATGAATCACTATAAAGAGCAACCTCATTAATTTATAATTAGGTGATATACAAGATTGTAGGACATATAAAAATAGGGCAAAAATAAGGTGGAGAGAAAATAACATATAAAGTACATAAAATATAAAATACAGGAAGGTAACATGAGAGTGTGGTTACTAGGCTATAGAACCATCATCTGTTCAGTATAGGTTTCACTTGGGATCCAAAGTAAGCCTCATCAGGGCTCCAAACTGCATACAGGTTTATTCATTCATTCAGCTTTAATTTATTAATCGCCTACTATTTGCCAGGACATGGTATTCCTGGTTACGAGGGAATAAATAAATAAAAAATAATTCTCATCTCTTTCAATATGCCAAAGAGTAGATGATGTCATATTCTACATATTTGCATTATTTAACGTGATTATATTTTCATTTTAACTTTGATATTACTTTATAAGTCTATACAAATGTAAAAAGTATAATACAACTCAGAAGTCTTTAAAGGGTGTTTATTGCCTTCAGCATTTTTGAAGGGCTAAGAAAAAAGTTAACTTTCCAATGTCACTGAGAAGAATCTAGAGATGACAGTGGTTTTTATTTCTGGAAATGAAGCAAATAAGCATAAAATTTAAGTTCCAAAGACAATTCCAGGCATAAATTAAACCAGCAGTTCTCAAATATTTTTGTTTCAGGACCCCTGAACACTCACAAAAATTATTGAGAACACTAAGGATTTTTTTGCTTGTGTTGTTGAAACCTATTGATATTACCATTTTACAACTGAAAACTGGAAAAAATATTGATATATTAATCATTTTAAAACAGCAATAATAAACTCATTACATGCTTACAAATAAGCAACATATTTTATAAGAAATAAGTATACTTTCTAAAACAAAAAGTTAGTAATAAGGGAGCATTGTTTTATATTTTTACAAATCTCTTTAATGTCTACCTTAATAGAAGACAGCTAAATTTTAGTATTTCCTTCTGCAATCAATTTGTCTTTTGCTATTTATGTTGATTTAAGTATATAAAGAATGTCTAGGTTTGTATAAAAATATAAAAATGGAGGAGGATTTAATAGTCTTTTTAGATAGCTATAGGTATTCTTCCTTGATATTTTTAACCAAAATTTGACAAGTGGTAGTTTCTTAGAGTTAAGTTGCAATGTGAAATCATACTCTAATACATTAAAACCCATTGGTCTATTTTACATTTTGAATCAATCTTTTTACCCAGGCATGGTTTTGTAATAATATGCATTGATTATCTGGAAACTATTGGTTCACAGATCTGCCAAATGTTGACACATTTCATTTTACAAAATAAATAAGTCACACTTGCTAACTGCAAGGTTTTTAAGTATTGAGAAACAGGCAAGCTCACTTTGGCAGATGAAAGTGTTCCAAAATTCTAATTTTTATTTGAAAGCTTAAATTTTTATCATTGGCAACAAGTACTATCAGTAGTTTTTCTTGTAGTCACTGACTCACTTCATTTTCATGAAAATGCATTCCAGATACCCATGTCCAAATAACCAAAATCTGTCAGTCATATTTTTCAAGTAAAAGTGATGTCCCATGAAAAGCACAGCTAGTTGAACTCACAAGGCACTAGCAGATACTTTTCTTCCGGGCAACTACCATGTTTGGTCAAAGCAGAAGTGCTTTATTTGTGATTCTCATTTTGTGACATGAAACACTAAAAAGACAGGGATTCCAGGGTCAAGATGTTAACAAATTAATATTCTGGACTGCTTCATCAAAGATATTCTTATGTGAAAATCTGCACCTTTTAAACTACAGGCAAGTGGGGCAGAATAAAGCAATGACGACTTATACAGTTTAGTGCCTCTGCCTCAAGTCATACAAGGAACTACCAGACAGCATATTTGTGGCAACCACTGCTTCTGCAGTGCACTTGTCAATAAAATGAGAAAGATATCTTAGTATTTTCATAAAATTAGGCTTGACCTTTGGAGAACTCCTCAAACATATCAGAGACCCCAGGGCTACACTTTGAGAATGGCTTCAGCAAGCCATAAATATGATTGATGATGATGATGATAAAACTATTTCATAGCATCCCTGTCTTCAAATCATTCTAAGATGAAAGTAAGAGTTGTATACTTCTATTCTTAATAGTTTCAGGAATGAAAATTTGTAATATTCCTGACAATCAAATTCCGATGTTCAACCTTTTAGACTCAATTATTAACACTTTTCCTATGTTAACAATCTAAACTTTACTCTTTCCAATATAGATACACTGTATTCTATTTCTCCCATGTGGGCTTGGGGAATAACCAGTCATGTTTTCTTTTTCTTTCCAGCAATTCTACTAGCATAGTTGGGACAGCCTCCATAGGGAAGTTCACTCTTCTGCAATCAAAGGCTTGACTGGCCTCATTCAAATTCTGAGATTTCTGGGAACAGACAAAGTTGCATACCTAGGTGGACCTAACCAACACCAACCCAATCTAGATATAGAACTTGTGAGACAAGCCAGAATACTTACTGTAATGGTCCAGAAAGCCAGAGAAATACTCAAAAACTATTAGTTATTTAGGCAGGTTTTTCAAATTTATGTGATTTGTTGGGGTTTTTTTTCCAGTTTAACTGAAACTAAAAGTGTTTGTTATCTGAACTATGAGCCTTTTCATTTTTTTATATTAAAACACATTCATAAGTTCAATAAAGACTTTTGAGTATCTACTATGTTCCATTCTAGGTGTGAGAGAGACAATCATGAACAATAAGACCTTATTACACTCAGAGCTCTCTCATCTTTGTGGTGAAAATGGATAAACAGTAAGTGAACGGACTTATAAGTAACAAAGAAAATATAAGAGTTTGATCAATGCTAGAAAAAAAAAAGTAGAACTAGGTGAAGAAACAGAAAGTGATTAATTGAAAGAACAGAGTAAGAAAGTCCTCATTGAGGAGACATCTTTGGAGCTGAGACTTGAATGACTAAATCCTGAAGAGCTGGAATAAGAGAGATCCAAAGAGAGAAGCTAAGAAGTCCTGGTGCCCTAAGATAGGAACTGAAACAGTCTGACTGCAACACAAGGACCAAAGGGGAGAATTATAGGAGAGGTCAGAGCCATAGACTGGTGCCAGGTCCTGAGGAACTGAGGGGAAGCTGGCTTTCCCTGGCACTACAATGGTTCTCACACCCTCATGGACGCCATCTGTCTTTTAAAAAATAGATGATGATACTGAAATATAGAAGGAAAGATGACAGGTTAGAAGTCACAAGACATCCCATTGTATCTTAGGAGAAAAAAGGAAAGGAAAATGAATATTAAGTACTAGTAACTGCCAAACTTTGAACTATGTATTGATCTTGTCTCAAATAATTCAACTTCGGTTAGTTATTTGCTTGGGTCTCTAAGCCTCAGTGGCTATAACCCTATAAAGTGGAGGGAGTAATAATATTTGTTGCAGTTCTATTATGGATTGTCATAAAGGTGCATGAAAACCAACATGTAAAGTACTTTGACGACTGAGTATCTATTAAAAGGTATTATCATTATAAATAAACATATTTCTTTAATTAGAGATTTGTATGACATTGGTCCTGCCTACTCTAGGACAGTCTCTTTCTGGTATAGAAAAATACCACTATTTGTAAATCTCATGATTATCACCATCCAAAGTGCTAAGAGGGACAATGAGATGCCCCAATTTGAGCTATAATGAAGCCTGTGACCTAGATACTTTTTTCATGCTCTTCCAATTCATGTTTTTCTTATTAATCACTTCAATTTGCATATATACCCTTCTAAAACCACTTGCAAAGGGAAAGACTCTCTTGTTCCTTGGCAGCTTTTCACAGACATTGAGCTGTTGCAGTCACATTTGACACCTGTGAAGTAGTTTCATGAGATCTCACATTACTGAACAGGAAACCAAGATGATTACGAATCTTTGAAAACTTGGACAGGACTGATAAGGACAGTAAAACAGCCTAATTAATTAAGCTGGCCAAGATGGTTGATAAGAAAGGTGTTTATGCCAAAACCGGTTTGGCTCAGTGGATAGAGCGTCGGCCTGCGGACTGAAGGGTCCCGGGTTCGGTTCCGGTCAAGGGCATGTACCTGGGTTGCGGGCACATCCCCAGTGGGAGATGTGCTGGAGGCAGCTGATCGATGTTTCTCTCTCATCGATGTTTCTGGCTCTCTATCTCTCTCCCTTCCTCTCTGTAAAAAATCAATAAAATATATTTTAAAAAAAAAAAAAGAAAAGAAATGCGTTTATACCCAACAACTAAGAATGTTGTAACTACTGAAGTACTAGTGCATTTGGCATGCAGAAAAAAAAAAACCTCAAAATATTGTATTTAATAAAGTTTCCATTATAATTATTCATAGAAGCTTTCAATACATATTATTTCACCTACTTATGTGGCAATTAAATAGTAGCTTAAAAGTAAATTACATGTGGAGTGTAATTATATATTCTATGAAGTGCATTAAGTTTCAAGATAATGGCTAAAGTTTCATTTGCTAACTTGTTATTACTTCTAGCAGCTCATTAAGCTTCTGACTCAAACTGTGAACTTATAAGAGCAAAGACCTTATAATTTACATTTGCAACCACTGGCTCATTCATACTTTGGGGCATAGATACTCAAGCAATCTTACCAAATGAAAGAAAGCTCACTCCCAAACAAATTTACCTACAATGAATTTGTTAACTCCAAAATTCAAGCTCACTACTTACCTCTGGTATACAAGCCCCTGTGAAACCAAACAGCCCATTGGCATTGTCACTTTTTTGTATTATTAATCTTGCTGTAGCATTCTGTTCAGAAATACGAGCTCCTCCATATACAGAGACTAGTTTAAGGATGAATAACTCTTCTCCTTCCTCTTCATTATCATCTTTTGCAGAAATAATGAAGGATTTGTTGGTTTCTCCCTGTCTGAACTCCAGATACCCAGAGACAGGGTGTAAATCACTCTTTGCTGGCATGGCGTGAAGTTCATAAATTTCTTCAAGGGTCAGTTTCTGCTCATAGAACCTCACATCCTGCATCAGACCTGTAAATCTGTCACTGCCATTCATTCCTGCCCCAATTCTCAGAGTTCCAGGACCTGAAATGAGAAACGGGTTTATTAAATGCTTCAACATCCACTAGTCTCCTGTCCTAAATTACAAGTGTGATTCAGAAAGTGAAGCAACTGTATTGAAAGGTTTTTATAAGTAAAGCTTTTGCATAACTAGAATATAATCAAATAAAGACTTTCTGTTTTGATGAAAAAATGATTCAATAATCACTGGGATTTAAGATATTTTGTACTAGAGGATATTTTATACATGTGTATGTATGTATGTGTATATATCTGGAAGACATTTCTTCCAGGAAATTTTAAAATTTCCTTGCACATCTAGGAATGAAATCATTTAACTCAGTTACAATTTTAATACTTTAGTATGACTATTTTTTAAAAATTTCAAGGCTTGATCTGTTAGAAATTCATCTTGAGTTAAATAAAATATTGAGAATTTAAGAAAATAAGTTTTTGTGGACCAAGTATAACTATCCATAAAACTAATGCAATGAATGTAGAAAAAAACCTTTTTTCTTCCCAGGAACAACTTTATATGTGAATCTTGGGTAATAACAACATGCAGCCCTTTTCAAGAATTCACCAATTCTCATTCTTTACTTATTCCCTCTCCAAGGCTTGGCAGTGATTTGGGGGAAAGTACAAGTACTATTCCTTATCAAGATCACCAATCAAGGCAATTTTACAAGTCAATGCCCAGATAGCTCTCTTAGGGTAGTTCACATGCAGCCTACACATTATTATCACAGTTGTCCCAGGCCTTCTCTAGTGGTTCTGGACCAACTATATAGTAATGAGAGTGAAATATGTAAACAGGGAAAAATATTGATGAACCTCATAAACAATACTAAACAAAAGAAGCCAGACACTCAAACGTACACTGCTCAATTCCATTTACATATATTTTAAAAAGGGAAAGCTACTCTTATGCTCTTGTAAAGAGCAATACTAGGTGGACAGGGTGGTGAGTTAGAGACTTGAAAAGAGCCAAAAGGGGCTCCTAAAATGCTGTTTCTTGATCTGGGGGCTGGTTACATGGTTTTAAAGTTTTAAAAAATTCAACTACCTGTACACTTACTATATGTACACGTTTACATATTTTATAATATAAAACACATAGTATATTTCATTAATAACTTTTAAAACTACAGACACCCTTTTAATTTTCTTTCCAAGTTTCAAATTTCAAAAACAATCTAAGTTCCCTGCAGTAAGCTAAACAGAGGAATAGAAACACAGCTCTCACTAACACCAATTTTTCCCATTCTTATTCTACCACCATGCTATCACCAAAGGAATCAAAGTTAACACATACATGTATATATTCACGCGATCAAAAAGTGAACAATTCAATGCCACAAATACTGTAAGAATACATCTTTTTTTCCTAATAAAAAAACATAACCAGATATCTAATGCAGGAGGTTCAGAAGAAAATATCCTATTACACAATAAACAAATAAAGGCTGCTCTACTTCCTTAGTAAATGAAAAACAGAATCAAATCTTAAGATGGAGGGGCTGAAGGGGAATTTGTGATTATAATGGACATAACCAATATTGTGTGTAAACATGCTAAATGTGCTTCTCAAGAAACAGCATCAGCTCCAGCTTAAAGACCATAATGATGATCTTTTCAAAGCACTCCACAGAACTCACCAATTTATTCCTTATACTATAAACCCATGAAACTGTCGGGGTTTTTATGTAATATTTCTCTTGTGCTTTCTCTTTAACGTATCTTCACCACCTTCCACCTCCAACAATATTGAGCTAGCAGCAGTTCCCATTACAACGCGCTATTTCACATTTCCGCACCTTTGCTCTTTTCTCTACCTGAAACGTTATGCCCCATCCACCATTACCACAGGAGGAATAGGTGTTCCTCCTTCGTATTTGTTTTCTTTCTTCCTACAATGTGCTGAAGTAATCAGATTAAACATCTCTTTCCCAGAGCCTATTTCAGGAACCTCAAAGGCAAATACTTTGCTTAATCCATTTCTGTAGTACCCAGCACATAATTTATTGTCTTGGTAGGCACATAGTGTTATTTAAAGAAATTAAATCAATACACAAGCAGATTTTAAAATACCTGTTAGCTTTTAAGAAATCAAATTCTTTTAAAATTCCAAATTCAGTGTCCTTGTAAAGATAACACTCACCATCAGTGATGGCTTCTCCTTTCAGACTCTTGATTCCTCTGGGCATTGCACTTCCATCAAGGTAGAATTCAATTATGCCATCATCCAGGATAATGAGAAGATGAAGCCAAATATTCTCTTCTACATATTTCAGGGCTGTTGTCTTGGCAACATAGGTAGCATTGGATCCCAAAGTTTTGTAATGAAGGGAAAGTGTCACATGGGATTCGTTGGTTTGAATTTTTACCCCATAGTAGATGCTTCCATTACCATCATCCTTTGCTATAACAAATCCATTAGTATTGGCATTGGGCATTACCCAAGCTGAAAAAGTAAAATTGGCAATTGAGTTGTTCCTGGAAGGATGGTATTTTTGATTAACAGTTCCAAATGCACCCTCTTGTCCACTGAAGTACAAAGCATCTGTCCCGCTATGGTGACGCCTCATGTGTGGCTGTAAATGCACAGTGCTGGGGAAAAGTCCAACCAGCAGAAGATCTGTCATTGGAGGCAAACCAGCAGGGAACTCACTGGACAGGATTTCCCAGCCTACACGTACATTACCAAAGACACCCTGTTGCCTCAAAATGGTGAAGTTGGTGATATAAGACATATCGTCTTCTGAGAGAACATCTTCTGCTACTTCTCTCTCTAAGCACTCTGGATCCAAGATAAAAACTCCAAAGGGATCATCATTGAATGGAATCATAACTGTCACCTGGAGGTTGGTTCCTGCTAGTTGACCCCCAGGACCTGGGGACCCACCTATAGTAAGAAAATTTGTAATGAATGAGAAACCAGAATTTAAAATACTGTCTAGTTGAAGGTGAAGACAATAGATTTTTTCAGCAAATTTTCAGTTAAATAATTTACTCATTCATCAATGACCAACATGTCACCATATGGCTTTTACACACATTTTCCGGGGTGAAAGCAAAATTTCATTAAAAATCAGTGCAGCCTGAAAAAAAGAATATTAACTAGAGAAGTTTAATTCCTGTGCTTAAAACCAACAGTGATAGGAAAATTGATTGTTTAAAAAATGAGCAATCTTTAAGCTACCATGAATTCGTTCTTCCTAATTTCCATTAATTTTTTGTTGGAGACACTATATTTGGGTGGGGAAAAATCTGTTTACAAGTTTGAGGACGAATGTAAGTCTCCATCCATAAAATTTAACCAAGACCACAAAATAAACATTAAAAATAACACTTCTATCAAAAATGGTATTTTGACATATATTGTCAGACAATCTAGATATACTTATTTCTTCATTGATGGCATTTTTTCTACAGGTCTAATTATTTAAATGTAAAATATTAAACTTTACTGGCAAAAGAAAAGAGATGGGAAAACACAGCACCTGAAATATTTACTAGCTTTAAAATATAAAACTCATTGAATTCAGGAATGTTATCTGGAAAAGCATGGAGGATGATTGGTTTGGCTCCTTCTCCATCCGTGAAGTTTACAGTCCCTGAAGTTTCATAGAACTCTTGTCCAGGCTGCAAAGCAGAATCATTCTGAAACAGCTGCCAAGCCACAGAAACATTGCCAAAGTGTCCTCGCTGCCGCACAACCCTGTATAACAAATTAAAGAGAATTCATTTTTATGGAAAATGGATAAGTAAGTAATGAAACTAACTCCAATGGAGGCTTGCTGTATTTCCTCAGAAACACACTTTTTCCATTTATCATCTTTAATATAAAGGAGCCAGGCAGTCCTAACTGAGCAACCATGAGGAATCTAATGGAAGAACGAAATAGAGCTTAATAAAGAGAACCAATCTTTTTTTTCTTTTTTCATCCTCACCTGAGGATATTTTTCTATTAGTTCTTAGAGAGAGTGGAAGAGAGAGAGGGAAACGCAGAGAGAAATATTGATGTGAGAGAAACACATCAATTCGTTGCCTCCTGCATGAGCCCGGACCAGGGCCTGAGCCAGGGAAAAGCCTACAACTGAGGTATGTGCCCTTGACCAGAATCGAACCCAAGACCCTTCGGTCCACAGGCCGGAGCTCTAGCCACTCAGCAAAACTGGCTAGGGCAAGAGAAGCAATCTTAAAAGTGATAGTCTTCCAAGTCCAAACTAAAAGATAAATTCTAAGCCCAAAAAACTTTCTTTGAGAACTGGCAAATGTTCTTCAAAAGTACAGGATGAGGAAGTCACATATCATTTGAGAGCAGTTCCAGAAAACTTTGAATATTCATCTCTCAGTCTTGACAAAGGATGGAAGTTGGGGCAAGGAACGTGGGGAGAATAATTTCTGCTCACCAGCTAAGGTGTCATTTTCTTTTCTTTTTTTAAACAAGTGACAACAGCATAAAAAAAATGTTTACAATTCATTCAGACTACCAACTTTAAAATTATTCAATTCTTAACCAGTATTTTCATTTTGAAAGATTAGTGCTTCAAAAGATTTTATTTTATTTTATTGTACACAATTTTGAATTTGCCTTATCCAAATATGCTTACCAAAATGAATTAGTCTTTCCTTCTTCTACTGCTTTGTCTATGGGCTCCAAAGAAAAAATACCATTTGGGTCATCATTAGCTTCAATTATCACTGTAGCTATTCCATGTTGATATACTACTGTATCGCCTAAATTAAAAACAGAAAAGTTAAAATAACAAAAAGTAGTTAACTTCCTGTTAAATTTGTATTTTTAACTAAGAAATACTTTATAATTAAATTCAAATTTCAGCAAGAATTTCCTCATTAAAGGTCATAAATAAATGAGAGAAAGATGCCTAAATAAGTTTTGCCGGGAGCTGGTCCATGCTTGCTGTTTCAAGGGACCTGGCATATATGGCATACTGTTCTTAATATGTTTGCTCACCTTCTTGGCACTATGTGTTTTAACCAAGGTCTCTGAGAAAGGTTGTTTCCCCAGGTAGGGATTTTCCCCTGAAGCTAGGGAGGGAATAAAACCTCTTAACTAAGTGCCAGGCGGGTAATTAATCACTTTAACTACGAACAATCATGCTTAAGCTACATAATCTTTACTCCCTGGAATGGAAATAAGAAACGCCCTAACCTTTGTAATAGAGATTGATAGGATTGAATCAACTGGTATAAATACAGATGTAACAAGACAGCAAGACTCAGAACTCAGAATACAGAGCTTAGAAGACAGGACTAAGAACACAGAACCTACTCAGAACCTAGAGACAGAAGAACTTCGCTGGAGAGAACATGGAAAAAGATCCTGGACTGAACCTGACTACAGAAATTGGCAAGAGAAACTGACTAGAACCTGGTGACTGAACCTGGCTGGATAACCTGGACAGAACCTGGCTGGAGAACCTAGCGAGGGAACATGGCTACAGAACCTGGCTGGAGAACCTAGCAAGAGAACATGGACACAGAACCTGGCTGGAGATCCAGACCAGAACTTGGCTGGAGATCCTGGCTAGAGATCCTGGCTAGGCTGCTGATCAACTGAACGCTGTCCCTGTGTCATTCCTTCTTTGCCGACTCCATCCACACCTTTGGGGACCCCTGGACCTGCTGGGGTTGGACTCCGGCAAAGTTTAATGTGACTTGTATTTGAGGAAATGTATAATTACAGAAGAGCTACTTTATTTTTAAAAGTACGAAAACTTTCCTTCACAATAGGAATATCACTTCAATACTTTAATTAGAAATAAAAAACATAGCTTGATCTAATTTCAAACTTTTGAGATAGATGTTTTCCATTTCATAAAAAATGAAAGAATTACCACACAACATAAAAATACTCCTGTCCATATTAACTGGAATCACTGGCTTGAGCATTTCCCTGTAATTCTCTGCCTTCAGGCAGTGGAGTTTGATCTGGTCATAGAACAAAGAAATCTTTATGGTGCTGAACTTGAGTCCTCTCTATTTCATTTCTTTCCATTATTGCCAATATTTGAGGTCTCTTCTCCTCACTTTCCTGAGTTACATCCTGAGTTTCATAGCTCTTCCTCTTTGCTCCAGCTGTTCCCTGTGCAAGCAAAAGTCCTTCCTATCTTTACTCAACCTCTCTTCTCACTTCTCAAAACCAGCTCAAGCAACAACCCTTCCAGAAATTCTTCATTGAATGCCCAGGTGAATGGTAACTATCAGGCATAAACTCCCACTGCCAGCACTAGGTCACATTAGAGATGCTGCCCCTCCAGCTCACATCATTGATCCCCTCAGATCCTCAATGTTTTGACATTACAGAAGGAGAGAAAAGAAGAAAGAGAACTAAGAAATATAAAAAGCACAAATTTGTATAATCCAAGCCTTCAAAGCTCGAGCCATTCGATTCTCAGATGTGATCATTTCTGGAAAAATACTGAAGACGTATGCAGTGGCAGTATACATGCCATACCTTCATACCTCAGGCCAGTGGCCCAATCACACCTTGTGCATGTTCATTCATTCACTCTCTCTCAAATAAAAAACACATTTTCTCAGTGATACATCTTACAGAATAAACTTACTCTATTAAAACAGTCATTTCTTCATCAACTTTCTATACCTCACAACAAACTTTTTTTTTCACTTTCAGTTCTCCAAAATAATTTTATCTGGAGCTATTTCTTGCATTTAAATTTTAGGATAGTGATTGGATTCACCAAAATGTTTCTGGTTTACATAAGATCTGATTATGTTTGCAACTGTGAAATACTTTTTGTGGCCATTATTCTATGAAGTCAAATTTTTTTCTCACTAGAGAATAGCTTCTACTTATTACTTTGTTTTTTCTTAGTTGGGTCATGTGAAAAATGAGAAAGAGAGGAAGGGAAATACGATGAAAGACACAAATGGAGAAGGGAGACAAAAAGACAGGGAGAATGCTAGAGAAACACAGCACCTACAAAAAATTAAGTGATCTCTTTCTCTTCCTCTTTCCCTCTGAATGTTTCCATCCAAAAGCACAATGTTTCAGTCCAAAAGCGCTGGGGTGGGGGTAGGACACCAGAGATCAGCCCTAGGTGTTAGAACTTACGCAGCGTGAGGAGGGCATTTCCATGATAGAAAAGCTTGCTATCGGACGGTGTGGTCTGTGAGGTAGGAGGGCATCCACATGGGGCAGGGGGTTGGCCTAGAGTAGGAAGCCTGAACCCTAGTGAGGTAAGAAAGGCAATCTCATTGTGGAAAGCGGGTCGAAGAAACAGTTGGAAAGTGGACACATACAGGGAGAATTGATCAAATTAGTAAATAGATTAAAGATAATGGGAGCAGGCTTTCTCACTATAAGAAAAGGGAGGGAGAGATATGGAAAGGGAGAAAACTGGAATGAACCCTGTGATATTAGATAGAAAGGGAGATACTGATGTAAACTAATGGTTTTCACTATACATAGCTGGACATAGAACTAGAGATGGGAAAGTTGTATGTATACGTAGAAACATGCATACATACATATATTCTCTGCACACTAAAAGAACTAAAAGGAGCATGACCACAATAACAATAAGCACTCCTAGTGCCAGATCCTGGTTTCTAAATAACATTCTTCACTAAAAGGAACCAGGGCTTCCTGGAGAAATGGTTGATTCAGGGTTGTGACAGGAAAAGTACAAGATGAGTTTGGAACCTCTTGCTGGGCCAGAAAGTAAGAAAATGTTCAAATAATAACAGGGACATATCAAAAAGACAAAGAAGTCATCTTGAACAAGACACCAATGGCCAAATCTAGGACAATTTAACTGCCCAAACAAATAATGATGCAAAACAAAACCCAATGTATTAAATAGAAATCATGAGTCCATACTGATAAATATATCAGTAAGATAATTGAAAGTCTGATGAGTAACAACAGACTTGCATATTTTAAAGTATCTTCCTCATAAAATTTACTAACTACAAAGAGGAAAAAGTAGAGTGGACAAGGCAGGCAGTCACCATCTAAATTGTGGTCAAAGTGAACATCACATAAAGGGACAAAACAAAATCATGTGCCAACTGCAGGGACATGATACGAGCTCATAATCACCTTCCATGAAATTCCTGCCAAGGATGCAAAACCTGAACCTAATGATGAAACATTAAACAAGCCCCAAAATGAGGAACCATCTACAAAATAACTAGTCTTATTATCTTCCATATCCTAAAGATCATGAAAGTCAAGGAAAGACTGAGGAACTGCTCCAAACTGAAGAGGTTAAAGAGACATGACAATGAAAAGCAATACATGATTCAGGAAATGATCATTTTGCTAGAAAGAAGAAAAATGGCACAACTGGAGAAATTCGAATGGGGCCTGAGGCAATGATTCTATTAATATTAAGTTCCTGGGTTTAATGGTTATGTAGGAGAATGTCCTTATTTGTAGGAAAACACCAATGTTTTCATGGGTGATGAAATATCATGTCTTCAACTTACTCTCAAAAGGCTCAGGAAAAAAGAGCTCTTTGTAGTCCTAAAAGAATAAAATAAATATTAAAAAAGTGATGGCCCCTCCAATTTACTAAAGGTGAGGCCAAAACCTTCTAAGAGATGAAATATTGGGGTCAAAATATCCTACTTCATTTACAGTAGAAAGAAGAATGAAGAGCCTACCTTTTCGCCCTTGCAAATTGCCATTCATTGTGGCTAATAGCTTCAGAGAATTGTCAAACAGCCAGTTGGGCTCAGCCACCTACAGAATACATCTTCCCAACCAGCACCCTGCTAGGAGAGCAAGTGGTTACAGGAACTCTTGATGTCCTATGCCCTTGGGTGTCTAGACGAGGCTTAGCATAGCTTTAGCTAGATTTTTAGTCCTTACATAATATCATAATTTTCTATGTGTGCTGTATTGTGAAAAAAGGTTACAAATAATGCCACAGAGAATTCCAGGCACATGAAGGTTCAATACATATTCTTCACCCCACCCCCACAAGAAAGTAATGAAGCAATTTTGCTCTTGAACAGTCACAGATGCTATTTAAGTACTACTTGGCACCACTACTAGACAGAAGCCCTGAAACAACAGATCTGTCATAAAAGTACAAGTTATTTACCTGTTGAGTTAAAGAGGATTATATAAAAGTGCTCATCTGTTTCTGGGATATCATCTTCGTTAACGAATACAGATATTCTCTGCTCTCTACTTCCAACCTCAAAAACAAGCGTTTCTCCTTTTTCAACAGGAACAAAGTCTCCCTCTCTTGCGGTGGCCTTCCCGTCCATGGTAGCATACTGGACGGTGCAAACAACATCAACAGATCCATTTCTGAGAACTGTAAAGTCAGCAGTCTCACCTTCCTGAACCCTCACTATGCGAGGTTCTGAAATATTCACAAAGAAAAGAAGAAACATTGAGCTTTTAGTATTCCATCTACGTTTTCAGGGCATTTATGTTTCTTCGCATCCCCACAAGAAAGTCCCTCCAATGTATCTTTGCTTAAAGACTCACCTCTAGTCCCAAATCCTACATGAGACCTCCTTTGCTTACATCTAGCCAATGGTCTTTCTCTTAACCTAATTCCTACAGAATCCATTGTCTTCAAAACCCAATTTTGGTGAATTAAATACGATCTGAAATCCCCTGCCTACTATTTCATATACCTCATTTCCAAATGTAAACTGTAAGTTCCTTGAGAAAAGGCCCAGATATCTTATATTTTATGTTTGTCACAGGAGTTAGCAGAAGGTTGAACAAAAGACTAATATATAAAATACATATTAACCAAAGGTTAAGAATATGCATCAATAAAATTGAAGAAGTTTAAAAGATTCCTGCCGTTGTAAACTGGGTATCTTGCAAGATGGGCTTAAGAAATAATTAGACACCATTTAATTCTCACAAATAAAACTAAAAGATGTATCATGTGGCAAAAGACAATTCTACAGAAACCATTAAAGTGGCAAAAATGAAGAAACCTTGATTTATATGACCATTCAATATTAGTTGCTATAGTAAGTTACCAACCATTATGTACAGTACCCAGGCCCTGAACTAGCTACACTATAGAAGAAGTTACATGAAAGAATATTCATTTTTGCACAAAGGAAAGAAAATAACTTGGAGTTTAAAGGTGGGGTGAACAAAGCTAACAAAACAGTGCTTACTATTTTTTTCCTTCAGAAGATGCTTAAAAATATTTGTTAAAACTGCAAGAAGATCAAATAATGATCATACAAACAAATAATAAAATTATATTTAAAGAAGTATTAATTGTGCTTTATTAAAAATGTTCAGTTAAAAATAAATGAAAATGAACAAATATACTGTTTAAGAAAGACATACACTCACTCAAAAAAAAAATAGCAATACCACCTGCAAAATAAATGGGGTCATCATTTCTTCTGATCCTCAGAATTGCAGCAGTCTTATTTCCTATTTTAGCTCCTCCAGTGGCATTAAGTAGGGTAATGGTGAATTCCTCCATTTCCTCTGGAATCTTTTGGAAAATGTCATACACGTTTTAAGTCAGGTGATTTGTACAAATAATTCCACTGTACATTCCTAAATTATTTTTATCTTTTTAAAAAATATAGCTGTAATAATGATAGTGCTAATGTTCATTTTCATTTCTGAGGCAGAACCACCCTAAATTATTCAAGTAGGACTCAGACCCCCAGAATGTTCATGTGCATTCATCCAAACAGCCACTTTATGTTGACTCTCCATAAAATGTACTGTAAATAGATATCTTGCTTTAAGTTAAAAATAAAAATACTACAATTTCTTTAAGAAAGTGGTATGTATGTTGCTTATAAGAAAAAATAGAACAGAAAAATAACTCTTTGACATATTTAGAACTGAGTTCATAACAGTAATAGAAGTTCAGCTAACTCTCAAAGGCCACTTACAAATGTTACTGACGTTTCACCCCAGTGTGTCATAAAGACCTCATTCCCAGGTCCTAACAAGATGAGGTTGCCCACAGCTCTGAGCCTCTATGAATCCCCAGGTGGACACTGTTTCTCGTTCACTTCCTCCATATGACCTGGTCTTCTTCACATGGCAAGAGTCTTAGATTTTGTCTCTAATGGGACAAGTCTGAACTAAAGGAGGTAGGCTTCCACAGCTGTCCAAAGCATAGTCCCTCTGAAAGGTCCACTCCCACCGTTACTGAGTTCTTTCTCTGCATTATCAATAAGATGAACACCTAGATGGATCCATGATCCTTGTGGGCCTCGACCCTGACTCTGAGAGTGCACCAGGGGATACGTGATAGGAGGCACACTTGTTTTCAAAGGGTCTAAGAACAACGCTAGCACTTCACCCCTCCCCCAACCGTGACTCCCTGATATTTAACACCTACACAGTGTCACTGCCCACTATCAGTTCTAAGAGTTAAAAATGCCTTCAGGAAACCAAAAATAGTATTTCTCATTTGGGTTTTAGTCAGACATTATCGTACCTGAGTTCTTTATCAATATATTCACAACAAAATATATTACCAGATGTCCAATTATGTAATAAAACATAATTATTAAGCAATGACAAGTAAAGAGAATTATATACGCAATACTTACCTCATCTGGAAGGGAGTAAATGGTGATATTTTTTAAAAATTCCTGATCTCCAAAGAAAACAGTCCCTTGGACAGGAAATACATCTTGTGTAAAGTCTGGACTAACCACCCATGATACACTAACGTCATCAAAGTTGCCTCGATTTCTTATTATACCATAAACAGCTGTAAAATACAAATGTGTATAATATATGTGAGCATATATTAAACAGTTCTAAAATGATGAGTAAAGAAATTGCTCAAATAAGCAAACATAAAAATGAGATGACTTTAAAAAAAAAAGCCAACTATCTGCTTAGCATAGCCTGCAACGTACATATAAAAATGCCTTAGCCTAGTCGTCCCTCTGTAAGCATCTGATAAAATAAATGGATTGATCTTTTCTATCACAGCTTGGATTTTAAAAGTCATTCAGCATCGGAACGGAATAGTGATTAATTAGATACACCTATCGAAAGTCCTATAAGGATATTTGCTAATATATGCAGCTAAAGGAAGCTGCACACTCAAAAGTGATTTCTTTACCCAGAAAGATATTGTTCTAAAAAATAAACTACTTCTCATTTCAGACCACTGCAATAGTCCCCTAGCACAGTGGTCGGCAAACCGCGGCTCGCGAGCCACATGCGGCTCTTTGGCCCTGCGGCATGGGCCACGAAGTTTCAATCGCACTGTACATGCGCGCCCGCACGTGGTATTTTGTGGAAGAGCCACACTCAAGGGGCCAGTTTGCCGACCACTGCCCTAGCAGTTACTCTTAGTTTTAAAGTTTTTCCTATATGACTCGACTCATTCTTCAGTGTCTGAATCCTACCACATATCATTAACTGAAATCAAATTATAACTGAAGGCAACAGTATCATCGCAATACTATGTATGAAATACAAAAAGTAATCCTAAATATCATTTTTAAAATACCAACTTTTGCACTCCATGTAATTTCTAAGATAGACAACTGAAAGTAAGTATATACTAAGAAAATGAATTTCAATTATTAATTTCCACTTCAGTAAACAGTAATCCTATATAAGAAAGGCCTAATATGCTCCGTGTACAGTCGTCTGGTTGGCCGTTCAACCAATCAAAGCGTAATATGCTAATGATACGCTAAGGCCACCCAACCACTCGCTATGACATGCACTGACCACCTGTCTGCCCCCTGTTGACGGGTTGACCAGTCACTATGACGTGCACTGATCACCAGGGGGCAGACGCTCCAACCCGTAGGTGAGCTTGCTGCTGGGGTCCAGCTGATCGCAACTGAACGAGATTGGCCAGACACACCCTGAAGCCCTCCCACAATCCCTCCCTGGCTGGCCAACCTCCCGCATCGCACCAGGCCTCTAGTAGAAAGGAAGAAGCAAAATAAATTACCACTATAGATATCGTCTCCTTTACTTTCATTTATCGTAACAATTAGATCATCAGAAACAAATTCTATAATCCCATGAGGATCATCATTTTTTAGAATCGTTATATTGACCACAGTAGCACTTCCCAACTTGCTTTCCCGTTCACCATGGCTGCTGAGGACCACCCAATAGTGTTCATCCAACTGAAATGAACATGTCAAATTAGGAAAAATACAAATTTGAAGTTTTCAGAGCAAGTAAATATATACATATATAGTCAAGAATATTAATATAGTCAATTTTTCAGCAACATATAACTCACTCAATGGTGACAAAAGAGCTAATATAATTCCTTTAAAAAAGTTTACCATAGTATTACATATGTCCCCTCTTTCCCTCCATTGACCCCTTGTAGCCTGCCCCCACCCCCAACCCAGGCCTTCACCATCCTATTGTTTGTGTCCATGGGTTATGCATATATGCATACAAGTTCTTTGGTTGATCCCTCCCCAGCCACCCACCTCTCCCGCCTTCCCTCTGAGATTCGACAGTCTGTTGTTCCATGCTTCTATGACTCTGGATCTATTTTGTTCATCAGTTTATTTTGTTCATTAGATTCCATACATGCGTGAAATCATGTGATACTTATCTTTCTCTGACTGGCTTATTTCACTTAGCATAATACTCTCCAGGTCTTTATGTAGGACAAACTTACATCATTGAAATTTGAATGCCTTACTTTGTTTTTTAAGCTTGTTTCCCCCCCCCCCCTTTTCAACCACAAGCATTTCTTAACCCATTCTTGCCCCCTTTCTTTCCTATAGCCTCCTGGTCATTGTTAAAAATATTTCTATTTAATAATATATGTACTAGAGACTATCAACCTCCCACAAAAGCACAAGGAAAAAATAAAATCCCATACCTCTGGTATTCCATCCAATCTGCTTAGCAAGGTGATTACGATCTCTCTTTCCCCAGGTTTAAATTCCAGTACCCCTGTGTTTCCATAGAATTCATTGCTATCTCTTGGCTCTACCCTGTAGTGGAGAAACTGCTTAACGAGAGCTCCCCTGGATCGAATGATGCGGAGCTCTACAGATTCTCCTTCCTTAAAAAAACAAAACAATACAAAAATTCAAGTCTGTTGACGATTCTTCTGAAAATGTGAGTAGAGAACAGATTGAAGTTTCTTTCAACTTACTTTTATAATATAGGGTCCTCTGGAATCAGGAGAAAATTCAAAAATTCCCCCAGGATCATCATTTTCCAAAATAATCAGATCACGGCTAGTATATCCAGACTTCAGCACTTGATTTTCCACATTGACCCTGGAGAAGTCAGAGGGGAAAAAGGCACTCACGACCTATAATCTTACTTCTGAATTCTGCAGGCTTCTAAGGCAATATTTACAACACTTTCAGATAATTAATATGGAAGTTATTAGGAGGTTAAACCTTAAATTGATATGAGTGTATTAAAAATTGCTTAACAGCAAAACAGCTTTACTCATAGCATTTATGAAAGAACTTCTGTTTCTGAATTTCTTTACATTAAAACCAAACACTGTATATGTACACCAAGAATATAACAACCAAAGGTTTTAAATATGCTGTAATTTTATAAAGTACCAAATTTATAGATTTGTTTCAGTTTTAGAAAAACTAATTTGTAACATGTACTTAAAAATACATTTAACTAAAATTGTTTTAATTCTACATATACTTGAATTTATTTTAAAAATTCATTACATATGATTACATTAAGTGAATAAAAGTTGAATAAGTGGAAGAAAGCCACATGAATCAAAAATAAACAAAATTGTGACTGGATTTTAGAAATATTTTGTGATCTTTCATATGTTTCTATTCGCCTTGATTTTAACCTCATGCATTTTTCTTTTAGTATAAAAAATAACATAGTACATATAAAAAATGGAATTGAATGGATCTCATATGTATGACATATTATAACAATTCCTATACATATCTCAAAAGGGTATATTAAAACAAGATGTTTTTTCTTATTTCTGGTTTTCATGTCCAGTGTATAATTAAAATGATCAAAGGAACTGGGACAAAAAGGCTCTGAGGGTTTGAAAGCCTGCATGCTCTTTGAGAATTCTCAATCTTGAAAGCTGCTCTAAACCTTTCCAAATGTCACTTTCTATTGAACCAAAACGTAGTCTTGAACAGACCTCAAAATCACAATGAAGCCACAATTAATATGTAGAAAGGATAGCTCACTTCCTATGCAATAGAGAATCTGAATTAGCATCCTTCCCTAGCTTTTGGAAACCTGACAACCAATAACTAGCATACTATAGTGGCTACAGAAGGGATTAGTCCAAATAATAGGAAAGTTATTTGTTAATTGTTATTGGAGTCATGTAATTTTCATAGTAAATTTACCCATATTTCATTCACATCAATATTTTTATTAATTAAAAATTTTTCTGTCCACATAAGCTAGGAGACAGTATAACTGAATCAGAATATAATAATCAGATTATAGCTAGTATATCCAGTCTAAATATCCATCTGAAGCATTAAACAAATAATTTGTTTTAACTTTCTTAAAATATGCTTACCCTTATATAAAAAAGGCAAATTTTTTTTAAACTGAGAATATGTAGGCAGAAATTGTTTGCATACAAATCAATGGAAGAAATGAGAGTTTTTATTACAAATTCTCTGTTAAACAAACTATAAGATTTACAACAATGTTAGGTAAGAATTTCACAAAGCACAATAATTTTTCCCTATACTATGTGTAAACTATAAGGAAAGTTAAAGTTTTAATTTCTTCCTAATACGTAAATACACTAATTCTCAAACTTTTTAATCAGACACCTTAAATGCATTCATAATTTAAAACTCAAGGGGACAAATGACTTCATTAGCTCCCCTTTTCATTAAAAAATAAAAGTACACACAACGCATGCACAGGCAGGTGGACAAGCAGCATTTCTCAAGACCTGTGCTCATGCAGAACAGCAGCTGTATCCAAAACAATGGCTTGCAAAACAAAATGTTGAATCACCAAAAACCAGGCGTTATGTTGCACACTTACCCAAAATACACGACAAACCTTTCAGTTTCTACTCTGTCAACACAAAAAGAAGCGTGGGAAGGGGAAATAAGAAACAGACACCATTTGCCAAAGTCTCACTGATACAGAAGCTTAGAGTGGCAAGGTAAGAATAAACTGCCCCCTGTGAGCTAGTAATGTCCACTTTATGGGGACTCTGCAGACTGGGTTCTTTGCTCTTGACAAATGCTAGCAAGGGGTTCGGCAGTTCCCACTTAGGGAACATGACCCCATGGCCAGCCAGCATGGAAGACATTCCTTTCCAGGCCTGCTCCCAGGCGCTGGGGCCTGCCAAGCACTGTGCATGCTTACAAACCGCAGCAGCTGAGCAACTTTCATTCAGCCTGGCCTATAATTACTTAGTAGCTTTAATTAGTTTTTTGGGGGGAAAAACCCTCCTTCCTCAGATCTAAAGCCAGTTTAGCTTTGAAAAAATAAAAACTCTATAAGCAGAGAAAAATATACCTCTCATTTGCACAGGAATATACTCAAGGCGCCATATCATTATATCATTTCATTATGACATCTATTTACTCAAATATAACTTTATATCAAGAAAGCTAAGCACTTTTTCAAATCCTCAATAAAGTGCATTTTCAAAACAGCATTGGAAAACACATGTCAAAATATACAGACCTCTGGCTTCACTTTTAAAGTCAAATGACACTATAAATAAAAGGTTATATAGCACATATACCAAAATTCTAAAAAATAAATTGGCATAACAAAATTGTTAATTTGGGGAAAACTAAACAATAAAATATTTCAACTGGTATGGTATTAAAAGCATTATAATTTGTTTAATACCAGGGCAACTTTTACCTAAATTTGACATTAAAAGAAAACTATAAACTGTAAACACAATAGAGTGTTATTTTTCGTTGCAATATTATATTGCAACTTCTTTTAATCACATATACTAGGATTCATTCATTCTTTCATTTTAGTTTTATTAAAAATTTGCAAGTCTCAAATGAAAGATTTGATAAAATTATTTCAGGTAGCAGATTTTATTCTCACATTTATTTAACTAAATATAAATATGTCTTTGAACACTCAAATGTAATTAGCTCATTCATGTTCATGCATAGAGATAATACAAGTATGCATTAGTTACTAATTGAATTAAAACATTTTAGTATAATTTTGAACTAGTATCATCTATTTCAAAAGAAACCAATGATTTCTGAAATTCTCTACATCACTATTTGTATTTCATTGTGAACTGTTTTTTACCAATAGGAAAGAAAGAGGAAAACCAACTTAAAATTATATTTAATTAATTTCTTTTTTTTTTAATATATTTTATTGATTTTTTACAGAGAGGAAGGGAGAGAGATAGAGAGCTAGAAGCATCGATGAGAGAGAAACATCGATCAGCTGCCTCCTGCACATCTCCCACTGGGGATGTGCCCGCAACCCTGGTACATGCCCTTGACTGGAATCGAACCTGGGACCTTTCAGTCTGCAGGCCGACGCTCTATCCACTGAGCCAAACCAGTTTCGGCAAATATTTAATTAATTTCAATGGTTTACATGATAAGGTTAAAAATTACTACTCTGAAAGAATATGAAGAACAGTTACAATGAACTTGCAGAGGTAAAATTTAAATTATTCTTCAAACATTTAGTTCAGAGCAGAAACTCTCAGCTACATGTTTGGTTTATAATTACTGTTCATTTTGCTTTAGTTTTTTTAAGATTTTCCACTGATTTCATAAGTACTTGAAACTAGCTTAAAGACAAAAATATATATAAGTGAAAAAAATGATAATTTTCAGTTTACATTTTACTACATTTAACTGATTTTTTATCATATGAAATTTTTTAAGGTTTAATGTAAAGTACATATTGTAACCATTAAGTCACTTGGACAGTGTGAATGTGTTGTTTTTATTTTTTTGCTTTTTTTGTCGGCTTGTTTCGTTGTTGTGGTTTTGTTTTACTTTTAATATGAAAAAGAAAGTAAGCATAATGTGGTTCTGAAAGCAAATCAACTGAACCGTGGATATTCAATAAAGTTCCCTACATTCTGTATTTTCTTTCTCATAAAAACACAATGACTCATCAGGTTTATGAAATGTGTTTATCAAAACACCTTCAAAGAAAAACCTACAAGAGTCTCATAGTAAAATATAGAAAGCAACAGGGGTCACATAAAAGAATTCCTACTCTAGTCCTAATATAGTACAAAATAATGCCTATTAAATTTATCTATAAATTTTACTGTTTTAAAATATGAATTTATCAAAACCCTCAAGTAACATTAACTTTAATATGTTAACATCTTTAACATAAAGAGAACTATAGTAATAAGTTTCATTTTGATTTTTTTTTTAAATAACATCAATTAAATAGTGTTTTTTTTTTCATTTTTGGAAAGGTTTTCTGAATTACTGAAAAAAAAAGACTGATGATTGTGATGTTTTCTTAATATAAATGACCCACTGAAAAATGTTAATTAAATCCTTATTATTACTGAAAATAACTCTTAAATTTGTATTATTTTGATTCTCTGGAATATAAGCATTACTTAATGTTTAAATTCCATGAAAAAAAAGAGAGAATTTTATTATATGAAGATTAACAGTTTCTTTGAAGTCACTCAAAGGAGCTCTAATCCTCTCCCATGTTGAAAATGAAGCTAGCAGAACAGTTTGCTTAATCTAATATTTTAGATTTGCTGCTGCCTATATGTTTTAGTATAGCAACATATTAGCTATGCTTAAGATTTATTTGAAACCAGCTATAAGTTCTCTATCAAATCTTTCCTCACAATGAATAGCAGGGTAAAAGTTCATGATGTCAAAATATTTACAGTCTAACCAGAAGCCATCAATAACCAAGGGAATAGTTAGGGGCCCAGCATATTATCTCTTAGTTTTTTCTTTTTACTTTATAAGGAGAGAAGAATTGAAGCAAAAAACAAAATTATTTCTGAAAATTCGAATATATAAATGTTACTGAGCGTTACCTAAATGGTTATTACCTGTCTAGAGAAAGTGTTACTGTCTCATTCATTTCCGGTATGTCATCAGCTTTGACAGTAATGTTGATTGTTGTGTCACTTTGGCCAGATAAAAATACAACAGAGCCATTAAAGGGACCTATATCGTCCAGGGTCACTGCTTTTGAATTAGAGCCAGAGGGCTTCAAACTCCAATAGACAGTAGCCTGGCCATCAGTTCCATCCCGATGTAAGGGAATGTATACCTTATAAAGAAAAAACAAAAAAGAATAATTTCTTATATACTCACATACTATCTATGCTTTTCAGTGATTGCGTTCACATGTTATTACATGAATATATGTATTCTTTATGGAAAAGTAAACTGTTAAAGGGCATTAAAAACATTTGCACAAGCCTTTTCCTTAAGCTTGGAAATAATTTTAGATAGAACTATATTTATTAGTTTTTGTTAATCAAATTACTAACAAAATTGTCCCCACCAAAAAAGATGCCTAACTAGGGATGTCTTAACAAAAAGACTTAAATATTTTAAAAGACAGGATGATGAAAAAACATAGAACAATTTGACTAAAAAGTAAATTTCAATCTGAGATTCTCTAAAATATGAAATTAATCTAATGTCACAATATAAACAAAAATAAACCTTTGTGAGATTACAATGAGAAAATTATGTTTCATAAAATATATCCTAAAATGATAGGTGGCAACATAAGAAAATAATATAAGTAACAATAAGAAATGTTTCTAACCAATATAATAAATGCAGTTCAAACAAAATCAGATATTCAAATCATGGCTCTGGGTTACCTTGGGCAAGTTACTTAACCTCTCTGATCTCAATTTCCACATGTGAAATGAAGTTAGTGATTCCCTGTTTTGCAAGTTTGTGGTGAAGATTACAGTACATCACAGTATGAACGAAATAAATAAAAGCTATTATAATAGTTCTGAAACAAATTGGTAATTTTACTTAAGTGTAGTACACATTAAATATATAATAAAAGGACACCATAGATCATGATGTTTTTCAAACAAAGAATATAAATGATTACTTAATTGTAGACACGTTATTCTGTTTAAACTCCTAAATAAGGTATCCTCTTTGCTCTTTGCCCTTCAACCCAGTCCATCTTTGAAAAAATTAAAATTAAAAAGAAGACATTTTCCTCACTGACCATTCTGTGAATTTGGCTGGAAATGGTCAGGGCTGGAGACGAAAGCGCAAAGATTCTTAGGGAAGACAGAAAATGTAACAGAGGCTTGTACCCTTAAATGACCAGAGGGAGTGGGCTAGTCCAGGCTGTAGATGGGGCTAAGAGAAACTCCCACTTTCTCTGCAGTTTCCCAGGAGGGAAAGAATATAAGTTCATGGAGCCCAAAACTTTTCCCCGAAAAGCTAATTTCCAAGGGAAGTACGTAAAATGGTAAATTTATAGCTTTATAAGATACATGAATAAAATGAATCCACACTTTAAGAAAAAGCTAAATCCTTTTTAGTAGGTTTCCTTTTTTAGAAGATAGCAATATATGAAGAATAATAATAAAAAATAAAAACTATCTTGAAAAATGGAGCTCCTCTGCCAATATATAGAATCGAATACATAAACCAAGGAAGTTGTGACCACCATATTTTGGCATGAGGCTTTGATATCGTAAATTGCTCTCCTCATTCCTGATCTGAACCTTAACCCAATTTAAATCATATGCAAGTGTCCGAGACCTGGAAGGGTCAATGTAATATGGTTCAGGGAATGGTAGAACTGAAGGTCACTAGATAGATGGTGGGAAAATTCAACCAGGGTAGGGGCAGAGGGAGGGATGCTGTATCTGTGAGCATGCTTTTGTGTGGTGTGGGGTATGGGAGTAACCAATAATTTGCCCACATATATAATACAAAATTCCTGAGATTAGGCATTCCACAATTTTACCACCATCACCTCCACTACCAAGAATAGTACCCCAGTCCTGCCCCAGGCAGGCATGATTAGCTTTCAGAAATGAATGAGTGAAATGCACCTGTGGTATATACCACTTAGCGTGTATGTGTGTGTGTGTGTGTATATATATATATATATATATATATATATATATAATATATATATATGTATACATATATATATATATATATATATCTCACTAGAGGCCTGATGCACAAAATTCGTGCACGGGGGGAGGGGGGTGTCCCTCAGCCCGGCCTGCGCCCTCTCGCAATGTGGGACCCCTCACTCCTAACCGCCTGCCTGCTCGCTCCTTACCGCTTGGTTTGCTGCTCCTTACCACCCACCTTCTCGCATCTTACCGCTTGGCTCACCGCTTGGCTGCCACAGACAAAGGAGAGGCTCCCGCCACTGCTGCTGCACTCACCAGCCATGAGCCCAGCTTCTGGCTGAGCGGCGCTCCTGCTGTGGGAGCGCACTGATCACCAAGGGCAGCTCCTGCGTTGAGCATCTGGCCCCTGGTGGTCAGTGCATGTCATAACGACTGATCATTATGGTTGTTCCACTGTAACAGTCATTGGGCTTTTATATATGTAGATGTTTTAGCTATCACTCTATCACATGTCATAGCATTATCCAAAAGCAGCCACATCAAAAAAATACTGCTTTTGCTGTGAGCAAATAAAATCTAATTTTATTTTATCGAATATGAAAAAAGATTATGGAAAATCACACATTCATCAGTTACTTATTTCAAACTACATATTGAAGCTGGCTGTAAATGGTGAAGCTTTTCACTACCTATTAACTCTATATGCTAACCCTCTAAAAAAATTAGTGTCTGTACAATATCTCAAACTCAGTAGGCCTCATTGATAAGAGAAAGCCTACTTACCACTTCAGCAGGGGAATCTTCTGGTTCATGCAAAATGATCGGAAGGTTGCTAATAAAGCCAATTTCTCCATTTGCAATATCTGGAGTAACGGCTAAAGAAATATTGCAGATTTTCCCAAATCTAGGACTGATAGGTGGAATTGGGGGATTTATGTTCACCAACTCCACAGTTTCCAACTATAATAAACAAAACAAAAAAAGAACAGAAATTTTAAAATAAAAAAGTCTTAATTGCATGGGGTAACAAAGTAAACATGGATAAAGGCTACCAATAACTTAGCAACTTCATTCTCTTTCTTCTTCCCTCTCCATCCTGTTTCAATCTCCTGCACTGGCTTCTTGAGCTCCTTCTGCTCCTCAGCTATTATTATTTCCCAGAGTTTTTTCTAAGCCCTTTATCTTATAATTTTATACCCTCTTTCTAATAATCTCTAGATATCTCCTGCAAGTGTCAAAAAGTCTATAAACCACCGCTATTAGATATAACATAAATGTCACATTGAAACTTTGCAGATAAAATATCAAAAATTGAAATCACTATCTCTGTTTCATGTCCCCTCTCCACTACCACCATCAGCACCACCATCTGCTCTTCTTCCTTGTTACCTATACCCAACCATCTTAACCTTAAAGCCAAATGTCAGAGAGTTGTCCACATCTCTTTCCTCTCTTCCACTAGTCCACAGCTCTACTCAATCACCCAAACCCCTTCTCTGCCAGAGAATACACAACCATTGAAACTCCAAATGTGACTTAGTATGCCTTTACATTTAAAGAAATGCAACACCTGTAAAGCATGGAGTGTCCCTGTAATTAATGAACATGACCACCAGAGTAGCTTTGATGGAGCTCTCCTCATTCAGAATAGCCTCCCTGCATCATTTCACAAGTCCAAAGTGTACCTGCTCTTAAAGACCAATTACATTTCCCTCTCTTCCATGAAGATTTCCTTGGATCTTCTAGCCCTTTCTATTCTATTTGTTTTGGAACTTCTATTGTTATTCTCACTAAACTTAGACTTAATTATAAATTTCACACATTGCTTGCTTATGATCATTATGTGTGTTACGGGCTTTCACTTCCCAACAGGATTATAGAGTTCTTGTGAGTTTGTGTCCTTCTCAGTATTTTCCCAATACTTGACATAGATCTCAAACTGCAGCAGCTACACAAGAAATATTTGTTGATTCATCTCGCCAACATAAACTGAGCTCTGTAGGAATCCTGATCTATCACAAATTTTCAACATTTAACATTCTAATTTTTCAAAATCCAACTTCTCAATCTTCACAGTATTCACTTAAATGTAAAAATAATCATTATAGGACTGCAAAAAGCATAGCAATTTTAAGGTAAAAAGCAGTTTTGAACTTAACAAAACATTATGGGTCTCTCACTCGAGAGCTCTCTATTAGGCTTTGTAATGTGGTAACAACCGTAATTTAAGTGGGTTTTCCACAAGTGGACTGAACTGGTACTGATCCCTCATATACTCTTAAAATTTTTTTATGAACATTATACATTTTAAAGGGCAAAATACATGCCTTTTAAAAAATGTCACACACCTTGCCTTGAAAATCATATATAAGAGAAAGATATTAAAAATTCCATATTTGAAAAAAAAAAATTCCATATTTGGTAAACATACATTTGAGTCAATGAAAAAAGAAATTAGATTGACAAATTTTGCCAAATATTCGTATATAAACTGAGTCAAGTAAACTAAAATGTGATTCCTTAGTATATTGAATTTATCTTATAAAATAAATAAAATATAAAGATAAATAGCTAAAACCACACAAGTATAACTGTTATTCTTTCTAGAGAAAAGGAATATCTATATACCCATACACATATATATATTTATCTTTAAAAATAGCACAAAGAATAAAATAAAATATGTATATTTGAATGGCATAAAATATAAAGTATGCATTGTTTAGAGGCAAAGATGTTGGTAAAATACACTGGTCATATGTAAACACGTGTGTGAACAAACATTCTCATTCCCATGTATTCACGAAGCTCTGAACTGGTAATACTATTTAAAACATGAAGGGGAAAAAACTGAATATAATTTTACTTTAAAACTTTCTAAAAAGAAAGAAAGAAAATAAGTCATATTTATATTTATCAAAAGTTAAAGAATTCTAAGTACCATATTTTGAAAATTTTAAAGAAAGAAGGTATAGAAGGCTATAAAATGAACTGATTAAAAAGAAAATGCTAATTTTACATAGCTTATTTCCTGGTCTCTAAGCCTTTTTGTCTGGGTTCCTTAAGCATCTGCTAAATCAAACTGTTCCATTCATACCGAGTTGTTCTTTGCTTTCAGACAGTTTGCAACTGGGGCGGCACATTAGTAACCCCAAGCTTGCCAAAAGTTGTGTCTCAGACTGATGTATGTAGCTGAGAGGATCACTGAAGAATGAGGAGCTCATGTCTCAGATTCTCCTTTCTTCAGTTTCATTCAACTTTCCATGCAGAGTCTGATGCCTCCTATTCTTGAATTGCTCATCCATTATGCACTATACAAACTACACAACCTTCTCATTCCAACCAGCCTTCCAGGACCTACAGCTATTTTGAACCTCAAGAAACTGTGTCAGTGACTAATAATGCCTTTTTCCCTACAGTGTTAAATTAAAATGTCTGCACAGTGAGAGCTTTGTTTTTTAACTGAATATGCAAACAGATAAAGAACTGAATTCAGAATTAGTGGTGCAAACAGATTTCCAACATGGGATCACCAAAAATTCAGACTTTACATGATTCTTCAAGTGTTACCTTACTTTTCAAGTGTCACCAGAAACAAATTGTCAAGTTCATGTAGAATGTTGAAACATAAACTAGCTAGGATAATATCTGACCCTATCTAAGTCTCTTAATAAGGTTTTGTTTACTTAAGGATTCTCTGCAGCTACTTGGCTAGAGATATTGAAAGGTATTTTTAAAAAACTAAAAGTTTAATATAAAGGCTACTAATATTGTCATCCATAGTAAAAAGTGGTTGAGGCAGCATAAGAAATCAGAAAACTAGACTGGGAACAGAAAAGTCCCCTACAAATCAAAATCAACACTTCTGCATTATCAGTCTTCAAACTCCTGTCTCGTTACGGCAGCCACTGTAGGAATGCCAGGCTGCCCAGGCCTCCACGGTGCAAAAAGCAACTGTATAAAATCTCTGCTTTGTTTCACTTATTTTAATAAGTTGGTTCTCATATGAGTTGTGACCTATGCAAAACTGGAGAGACAGAAGGGAGAACTGAATGCTGAGATAATGGAAACACAAAAACCTTAAACATATGCTATGAATTAAATGTTTATGTTCCCACAGAATTCATATGTTGAAATCCTAAATCCCCAATAATGATGGTATTTGGAGAGGGGACCTTTGGGAGGTAGAGCCCTCGTGATGAAATTAGTGCCCTTATAAGAAGAGATAGTGCCCTACCGGGTTTGGCTGCGGACTCAAGGGTCCCAGGTTCGATTCCAGTCAAGGGCATGTACCTTGCTTGCAGGCACATCCCCAGTAGTGGGTGTGCAGGAGGCAGCTGATCGATGTTTCTCTCTCATCAATGTTTCTAACTCTCCCTCTCCCTTCCTCTCTGTAAAAAATCAATAAAACATATATTTTTTAAAAAAAAAAAAAGAAGAAGAGATAGCAAAGAGCTTGCTTCTTCTGGCTCTCCACTACGTGAGGACACACCAAGAAGACAGCAGTCTCCACACCGGGAGGCCGGCCTCACCAGAACCCCTCCAAACCAGGACACCGGCCTCCAGGACTGTGAGAAATGAACGTCTATCATTGAAGCCACCAGGCTATGGTATTCTTTGTGGCAGTCTCCACTGACTGAGACAATGCACACTAATGAGAATGCTCTGAGTCGAGAAGACACCGATAGCAGAGAACGTAGAGAGTGCTCACACCAAAAATAAGACAAAAGACAAACACCTCCATTCAATTCTGAAATTCCACTTGACAAGTTATTGTCTCCCAAAGGTTCTTGGAAATCGCTAAGTTTGGAAATGCCACACTAAGGGAAATCTGGTGAAATTAGTATGCATTTCCATATACTAATAAAACTAACTTTAAAGTTAGTATAAAGCCAAACATAAAGGTCTTTTTAAAATCTCTAACCACATCTTCATATGTGTTCTGCTGGCAGCGTTCTAGTTGCTTTAACTTCCTGCCAGGGTATGGGCTTGACCGCTTGCTTAATTCCACTTCACAGACCCAGATCACCCCGCCCCCCAGCCAGCTCACAAGAGCATTCCACAGGACGCAGGGGAAACAGACAATTGTAAATGATTCCCTGTTCTGTTCACCCATCTCTCCAAAAAGCGAAAGGCAAGGGTCCTCCAAAGAGTGGGTTATCCTCATAGACAAAAATATGCAGCATATCAGAATTTCCTCATTTTGAGGAGACGATAAAATAACTAATAATAAAAATAAAGATGATGAACAGGATGTCCTGCCACTAGTAACAAAGCTTTGGGAACACTGGAAAATCATCTCCCTCTGAGTGGGCATATTATAAAAAGGCATCCCCTACAAATTATATATCCCTGTAACAGGTCAACCACTAGACCCCTTCACCAGGAATTGTCAAGAAATTCAGAAACAGTACAAGCATGAGTGGTGGCCCAGATTAAAAAAAAAAAAAAAAAAAAAGACAAGAGTCTTCAGAATGGAAGTGCATGGCAAGGACTGTGAAATTTAGAATACCAAGAAGATGTAAAAAAAAAAAAACAAAACTTTCAGAGATAAAGAACAAGTTATCTGCTTTATTTTTTTGCCATCAAATTTCATGTCAGCAACAATAGAAATTAAAAAACAAACCTTCCCAAGAAGTAAAGAAAAAATTATTTTAATCTAGAAATTTTTACCTAGCCAAATTATCAATGCATAAAATTTCATCTTTAAATGCTCAAAGACTCAAAAAGTTTACCTTGCACATATATTTTCTGCACATGTATTTGAGGATAGATATATTACAACAAAACTTAAAACACAACTTAAGGAAAAGGCAAGAGATCAAGAAAATTCAAAAGCTCAGTAAAAAAGCTCCCAGATGTGAAGCACAGAAAGCGATGCAGCTGAACTCAACACTCAAAGTATGTTAGACAGCTGCAAGCCCTAACATGGTGAGGGTGGTATGTAAAATAAGAGCAATCAGAAACTCCAGAGAAAGCATAAACCATAAGACAAAGTCTACGCAAAATTATGAAACAAATTTAAGTGTGGCATGATTCAAAAGTAATAATAAAATGAGATTTCATTTTATATATATTTCAGTTGACAAAAAGTATAGTGACATAAGATTATACTCTTTATGAATCATTCACACTATCTGAATCTATATTTACATTAACAAAACTTGATAAGTACTTTTATTGCTTTCTAATTTTCAGAATCAACCAAAACCAAATACAAAACACAATCATACTATCATGTGAGTGCAGATGTTTTAAACTTTGACAATAAAAATGTTAATAAAAGTTAAAAAATAAGAGGTAAGATGGAGAATATGTTTATAAGGCCCTTATTTCTTCTTATTAAGTAGATGAAAATCCAGAGGTGCTATATACAGTTAATAGACAAAGAAACAGATTTTTAGTATATTATTTAAAAGTATCTACAGTATACAATTGTTCTCATATTGCTTAATTTCTGGAATGCCTTCCCTGTAAGTATTAATCATGAAAAAACATGTATCTTACACACCCCATTCCTATGTCACATATTCTCAAATCACTCAAAAGAACTGCAGATCTTTATCTATCCCCCCCCTTCCCCATTAACAGTTTGTGAGTTACTTCACTATGTCATCCACTATATTCTGACCTGCATTTCATGTCTGATGTGCTTTTATTATCACCCTGACTAAAATTTTAACTTTTAGTAGAGCCCTTGTTTTTTTCATCCTAATATGCCTCTCTGGACTCCCTAAGTAACTTCTAGTAACCAATAGTAGAATCCAAATTATAAATGAGATCAAAATAATGGTTAGTTAACTCTTTCACATAGATAAGTACGCTTACAATTTAAGCAACATTTAAATTACTTTAATCATTAAAATACCTGTATAAGGAAGTGGGCCCCATTTTGAAGGAATGCATCATTCCTTATTGGTAATTTAGTAGTGACTTGGGTTTTTTGTTCTGGAAAAATGAGGCTATTTCTCCTGGATATATTTAAGATGCCATCTTTTGCTCGCAAAGGGTCCACAGCTCCGGCCGGAATATAAAGTGCAGAATAAAACATCCTCACATCTCCTTTAGTTCCTCCTGATCTTGAAAAACTCAAGGATAAATATCGTTCTCCTGGGCTGCTTTCAATCTTCTGGTTTTCCATAGGAAAAAATGTTATCAGGCCATAAACATCATCACTATCCTGAATGTAGAACAAAAGCTGAGGATAAAGGAATAAAATATTAAAACGCATAATTCTCACCTCCAAGATTCCCAAGCTGTTTATTTTCTAGGCTATTCTGATTTTTAATATTTCCTTACATATCATATCTAAAACTGATCCCTTCTTGTATACTGGTATACTAGAGTAAAAGAGGAGACAAAAACAGATCTGAAAACCTTCCCAATTTGTAGTTTGTTGAATTTTTTAAGACTAAATTTTTTATTTACAGAAGGGACAACCTTGAGCAAGCGAAGCAATCATCATTTCCAAAAACCAATGTATGTTCTTCCTGCCACATCAAAGTACACATAAATGAGACCTGTGTGATCAAATTCTTTGGCTCTTCTACGACACAGAAATACGAGTAAAGCGTAACAATAGACCTACCTCTGCTGGTTCGCTCACTTCTGCACCTCCTCGTATTGTATGAGGCAGAATCTGCAGCAGATAAGCTTCTGCCTCTTCTGGAAGATCATCATCAACGACAGTAAGAGGAATGGATGCCAACATCTGCCCTTGTGCAAAGTGGAGAACTCCAGAACTTGGTCCAATATCTGCTGTTACCGGTGAGGGATCACTGCTATTCCGTGTCAACACCCAGTTCACGGAAATATTCCCATGGGTGCCGCCATTTCTGACGACGGTAATATTTTCAAATCTAGAATTTTTAAAAAAGAAATATATACAGTCACACCATCCACTCTAGTTCCTTTAGATGGAGTATTCAACTGTAAAGTTGGCCATCAGATAGAGTTAAAAACAGTCTCCATACATAAAGAATGATTGTTTTTAATATGAAGGATTTGATATTTAGATATATCCTAGGAAACAACTATAGTAGGAATTCACCTGCATATTTAAATCACTCCCAAAGTAGGAGAGAAAACAGTGAGACCATGGTGGAGGAAAGGACACATACTCTCAAGAGTTCAGCATTGTGTCCAACACCACAAACATTAAATCTTGGAATAATATAAAAAAGTGACTGTAGAAACAGGTTTAGGCTTAAAATAAACCATACCTTGATGTTGTATCTTCATCAATTATAACTGTCCTTTCAAACAAGACACTGTTGAATGAGAGGACCCCATAAGGTTTGTCATTTGGCTTAATGGTGACTTGTACAACAGAAGGGCTTACTAGCACAGCATCTCCCTTTAAGGTATCTTTTAGTAACACAACATGAAACGATTCAGCAATCTCTGGTACGGTGTCATCAATTATTTGAAATTTCAGGTATGATTCATGAACAAAAGGTGGAAAAACAATAGTTGTGTTTAGCTGAAGATCAATGAAGTCTACATTTTGCTGGGCATGTGCTGTTGAATTCCCAGTTACAATAGCATAACTGATTGAAACTTCATATTCATCAGATCCAATTGGATAGCCACTGTCATTTTTTCCACGAATCACTGGAATTATGAGAATGTGGTCTTCCTCCGGTACCAAATAATTGCTCTGAATGAACCTCACAGGACTATCATTTTTCTTAATGATGATCTCAACGGAGCTCCTAGAAGTGTTAATCTCAGCTCCTCCTTCTACACTTTTAAGTTGAATCAAAAATGTTTCATCATTTTCTGGTACCTGTCAAAGAAATATTAATTATAGCAAAAACATCAATAAATAAAACACCTGCAAAGCAACCAAAGTGTAAAAAGTCACTATGTTTCAATAAATTACATAAAAATTAAAAATATTTAACTGCCGAAGCCGGTTGGCTCAGTGGATAGAGCGTCGGCTTGCGGACTGAAGGGTCCCGGGTTCGATTCCGGTCAAGGGCATGTACCTGGGTTGCGGGCACATCCCCGGTGGGAGATGTGCAGGAGGCAGCTGATCGATGTTTCTCTCTCATCGATGTTTCTAACTCTCTATCTCTCTCCCTTCCTCTCTGTAAAAAATCAATAAAATATATTAAAAAAAATATTTAACTGAAGGGAGCCTATAGAGAGGCTTGTTTAGTGTCCACTTGCTAAAATATTTTCTAAAAGAAAATAACTTTTTAGATAGGGAAGGAAAAGTTCATAAGGCAATGGTGTGAACAGATAATGAAGTATAGGTATAATGTCTTTCAACCTTGATCAATCTTTAGATAACTCTAAAGATTTGACAGTAAAATGAACATATATTCTTAGTAGTTTTATCAGAACTAGTAGGGTCAAAAGCAACAGTCAAGGTCAAAAAATATCTAAGAATCCGGAAAACTACATTATTAAACATCACATGCAAATTATTAGTTTTCAACCATGTGATTTACTCTTGTTTCTTTATAAAGCGTTTCTAATTCAAGAGTTAAACATATGATACCAATCATATGATTTCCAAAATACACATCATGCCTCTCTGGAGAACAAGCTGTAAGAGTCACTACTGGGGAAAATGTTGACATTGTTAAAATTAAAATATATACTCTGGATATATCTTTTGTAACTGCACGGAAATCTTAGGGATAATTTCCACTGTGCTGTTTGAGCTTTCCTTCACTATAAATTCTATTTTATGAATAAAAGTGAAAAAATATATCTTTTTACCTCAATCAATAGCAATCAATGAAAGAGGTAAAGCTATTTATCACAGAAAATAAAATATGACTTGATTGATGATCTTTTTTCCCCAACTTTACTGAGGATGATTGAAAAATACAATTATATTTAAAGGGTGCAATGTGATGATTTTATATATACACATATTGTCAAAGATAATTAAAGATCAAGATAATTAACACATCCATCATCTCACATAGTTAACTCTTATGTGTATGTGGTGAGAATGCTTATGGTCTACTGTCAGCAACTTTCAAGTATACAATACCATAATTATTAACTATCATCACCATGTTGCACATTAGATCCTTAGAAGGGTTTTTACATTTTTTTTAACTGTTCCTGTTTTTTTAATATATTTTATTGATTTTTTTTACAGAGAGGAAGGGAGAGAGAGAGTTAGAAACATCGATGAGAGAGAAACATCAGCTGCCTCCTGCACACCCTTCTACTGGGGATGTGCCCGCAACCAAGGTACGTGCCCTTGACTGGAATCGAACCTGGGACCCTTCAGTCCACAGGCCAACGCTCTATCCACTAAGGCAAACCGGTTACAGCAGGGCTTTTACATTTACAATTAAAATGTATAGTTAATTATTGCCCCAAATTATAACATTTTTACTGTTCCTGGATCTAAAAGCAAAACATTTCTGTTAGCTCCCAGAATACAAACTAGTTATACTGCTACCTAATAGTTCATCTATTTCAAGAGAAATACTCTTTTCTAATAATGTTTACTTTTTTTATTTTTCTTTCTTCTCTTGGGACTTGTGATTGGGTTTTCTAACTTTTTTGTAGGAGGTAGAGGGATGATTATAGATTCCCAGCTATTCCCTCTTTTTCCCACTAGCAACACTAAGATTTTTTAAAGTTAAAAGTCATGGTTTGTCTTCTTTAGCTCATGGTGGATATACTTGCATATTATCATTCAAACTCATTCTTCCCTTTGCAGTCATATATCTCAATCCTTGGTAACTTCAATGTGAAATGCAAAAATAACTAAAGCCTTTCTCTGAATGTGAACATTAAAAATATCGAAACAAAAGAATACCAACTATAGTAAAAACTTCTTTGCATTTATAGTAAAATATTATGCTGAGTAAGTAATAGTGTACCTGATCGAAACTGAAATCACTAAGAAAATCAATCATGAGCATTTACAAAATGCTTAGATTTTTGTGGTTGACAATTATATTCAGGTTCATCAGCTTTTAGATATATAGTACGATTTAATGTGAAATAAATAAGGAAAATATTAACAACATATACTCCAAAAGAGCTTTTTATAGCTAAAGTATGACTGGCACAATATACTAACTTTACATAGGACTGTGTTCTTGAATAATTTCAAATACTGAACACAATTTAATCTCTGACATAATGTTCTCTAATAGGTCTATAACACAGACAGAGTCCTTGTCCCATTTGAACATTTCACATATCCCACCTCATCATCAAGCACTGTCAGGTTATAAACTACTATTGCTATGCCCGGGGGAAAGGAGATGTTTCCTTTAACTGGACTCAAATCTTCTTCTGGTGGATTTGGGCCACCCTCTACCTGCAAAGAAATAGATGTAAAATAGTTCACAAGAGTAAAAAAGCATTATTGTGATGTCAGCTGACAAAAATCTGAAAGTTTATTTTAAAATGTTTTGCAAAAATTATACTAACCAAATGTCAGTCTGCCCTTCCAATTAACAATCAAGACCTACAATTATAGATCTCAACTATAATTACACTAAACTACATAGTTTCGAAGAGCTTTCTCTTTTAGCCCAACCACTGTATTAAACCTGAGGGAAAAAACTTATAAATATTTTTCTTGAGAGGAAGTTATTCAAAATTAGTAAATTCTCTTAAGTAATGGAAGCAAATAGCAATTCCACCAGGGACTATGCAAGGTATTTAACAACTCTATGCAGCATTTTCCTCATCTTTCAAATGAGCATAATCTATATATATAAAAGCCTAAGCGACCGAATGACCAGTCGCTATGACGCACACTGACCACCAGGAGCTGTCCCCTGGTGGTCAGTGTGCTCCCACAGCCAACCTCCCATGGCCAGCCAACCTCCCACGGTCCCTTCCCCTGGCTGGCCGAACCTCCCACAGCCTATCCCCCCCGCAGGCCAACCTCCCGCAGCCCTACCCCCCCGGCTGGCCTACCTCCCTCACCCCTGATCGCTGACCAGGCCGAGGGACCCCACGCGTGCACAAATCTGTGCACTGGGCCTCTAATAATTTATAACAGGCTAGATGTGAAGATTTAATAAAAATCATTCCTTTTGAAAAGTATTTATTAAGTACTCTGTGCCTGACCTTTTTTAGGTAGTAAGTATACAGCAGTGAACAAGGCAAACTCCCAAACCACCAGGACCTTACATTTGATGAAAAGGAACAAATAATAAATGAGTTTGTGTGAGATGAGGATAAGGATTACGGAGATAAAATTTAAAAGGGCATGAGAGAGACTGAATGCTGGAAAGAGTTGCTGTTTACATGCAGTGAAAACAGCATTGGAGTAATGCATTAGAATAGTATATGGAAATATTAAGGGCTCCACAAATGAAACCTGTAACTATTTCAACTGAACAAAAGAGTTAAGAGCCAATAAAATAACTTCAGACACCCACAGCAAAGCTGAAAACACTGTAACTGACGATGCCATGTCCTTTCTACAATTCTTCACACTTTTCCCATATTTATTATTATCAGAAAAAATTTCAAGAATGGATGATCTAAGTGCATATTCCTAAGCAGATTAAATATTGCTTAAGGCTTCTTCTGTAGAACTTGAAAGACTGCTGCATATTTAATTATTGCCTATGCTTTTCATGCATTACTGCCTTATGCCAGTTTATTTTCTTATGTCATTAACATAACCACCATATGATGTAGGACTCCACCAGCACAAGTAAAACTCTTCTATGCTTCAGTAGAATTATGTTACATAAGTCAAATTACCCATTTTATTGATGTTATAATTCATAATGAAGATATAAATTGGTAGCAAGACTTTTCAAGGTGTTAATGTTTGAAAATAGCATATGATCATGTTTTCGATCTTATAAAACAAAAATTAGTTGAAGATTTAAATATGTATCTCATAGAACAGCAATATGATGACATAATGGTGAGCATGTGCTCAGTAAGCAATAAAATGGAATGGTTACAGCCAGCACCAGAAGAAATACACCTCACCCACAGCCTATCTTATTCATGTCAAATGCTATAGTATCTACAGAACTCCACAGTGGAGTGCAACTACTTTTAACACTATCCATTAAGTGCATTTTTTAAAATGGAAAATGCAGGTGGGGAAGACTACATATTAAGTAACTTTGTATAAGTCTAAGTGATCCATGGGCATTTAAACATTTTATATCCTAGAAAAAGTTTATCATAAAGGTTCTATAAATTTTATAGAGTTAACATTATTATTACCATTGTATTTTGTGGTTAAGTGATACATTGTGTTCCATGTAAGCACAGTATATTCAAGTAACAAGGAAAACATTTTTATATTAACCATGAAATTTATCAGATAATAAAAGTATTTAATTTCATTTTTATTAAAGGTCTCACTCATTTGTGGAACATAGGGTCATATTTCTTATACAAAGAACCTTGATTTTTAAAATTATAGCTATCTGGTATGAACTCTAAAATGTTACCACTTAAAATTTTTTCAGAGTAAACATACCTCAAAAGTCACCGTGACCATTCCATAGGTTCCTTTTTCTCTGATGAGAGTCAGGGGCACAGATTCGTTTCTGCCCCTGGGCTCCCGCACTGTGATTGAGGAAGGCTATAGGGAAGAGCAAAGACATTCAGGCGCTGAGCAGAGGTAGGACCAAAGCTACAAACTGTTCCCTTAAAATACTGCATTTCCACAGACAAATCCATCCACATTGTATTCTTAAGGATGTGGTATTTCCTAGCATCCAATAACTGCAGCTAATAAAAGTATTTAAATGGTTTAAAAAAAAGGAATATAACTTGTCATGCAAACGATGTCAGTTTTTAACAGGTTCTCGCATTAACTAGCTGTTCCGCTGAGGAATCCTAAAGATTATCTACTCAAAAGATGGCAAATTCAAATGCTCACAGGGGCATAGGAGATCACAAAAATGAGTTCCACCTCCGGACCAGGGCAGCTCACTGGTGCAATCACTCGGCCTTGCTCCCAACCACTTTTTCCCTCATTGGTCAGCTCGCCATTGAAAAGCAGACAAGTGCTAATGACTTTTTCAGGACATGATTACTGAGCAAAAGAGCCAGGACTTCAAATGTTGAAATGTGCTGGCGTGGCTGGCTGAAGCTCAGCATAGAAGAGGAGGAGGAGGGAAGCGGCCAGGTGCACACTAACTAGGGCAGCGGTGCCCATCTCTCCAGAGGACTCTAAGTTTCAGGAACCCATCGATAAACGGGGATAGGAATGCCTGTCACGAAGGGTTATGATGAGGTTTCAATGAGATTATTCACATCAAGTGCTTATCCTAGTAGGTGACACACAGTGAAGGTTCAGTAAACACTGGCAGTTACTATTATTATCATTAATGTTATCTTCATCATCATTATAATCATGATCTATGCTGGGAACCAAAGTCAGCCTATTTAGCAATGACTGTGAGGTTAACAGTTATTTAGTTTAATTTTAGTCATGCAGGGCAGCTACCCAGTGAGAGACCACATATCATGGACCTGGGACCAAAGTTAGAAACAAGAATTCATTCCCAGAGGTCAGGATGTATAATGCCAACACTAAAAAAGAAAGAATATTTTAAACAAATCAATATAACGTTAGGGAAGGTAAATTAGAAGTGAGTGCAGAGGAAAGGCAATCGGGAGGGAAATTAAGCAAGTAAGGGAGCCTGCTTCATAATTAACTATAATTCCCCAGCATTCAAAATAAATTATTGATTAATTTCATTTCTGTAAATGACAATATATAATGGAGGTTAGAAAATGTCTACTATATTGATGTTACCTACATATCCTTTTTAATAAAAATATTGCAGTTATGAGGATCATACTCATCTATAGCTCACCTTGTTTCAGAGATAATTGAAGAAAATGACATAGAATATACCAATTGTAGTTGCAATCGAAATTGGAAAATAAACAAAAAGCTGCAGAGTAGCACCTCATCTTTTAGTAATGATAACAAAAGTAATAGGATTCAAAGAGTCTCTGTATCAGGAAGGTCATTGTAGTCTAAAACAAAGTGGCAAAATCCAATTGTATTTAAGATAGATTTTGCTTTAAGGCCTGGGACCTGTCTTGTGTGTTTGTGTCTAAAGATACAACCCTCTGAACGTAGAACTGGCCATGGACACTGACATTTGGTGATAAGGGAGAAAAAAGTAAACTGCTGAGCAAAACTGAGAGGTTATGACATGGAGTTTTAACCTTTAGGAAATATTAATAGCGGGGAAATCTCAGGGTAGGGATTGACCAAAGACATTTTAAGCACTATAATGTCTGCTATTCAATTTTAAGTTTATTAGTTTTTTTTAGTTTTCTTTCCATATGTTTTTCTTTTTCTGGAGTCACACCAAACTTTGAGAAGAGGCTGACAGACAATGCTTTAAGTGGCAATTGGGGAAATCAAGCAAAAACAATAAAAAAAAAATTGGGTTATAACATCTGCTACAGACGGAATGTTTCTGCACACTCCTCCCCGCCCGAGCACCAGATTCATGCTGAAACCCTAACCTGCAATGTTATGGTATTAGGAGGTGGGGCTTTGGGGAGGAGATTAGGTCATGAAAGCTTTGCCCACATGAATGGGATTAGTGCTCTTAAAAAAGAAACTTCCTCGCCCCCTCTGCCACATGAGAACACAGCAAAAAGACAGCTGCCTATGAACCAGGAAGTGGGCTTTCACCAGACACTGAATATGTGGATGCCTTGACCTTGGACTTCTCAGCCACAGAAGTACGAAATAAATTTCTGTTGTTTTCAAGCCACCCAGGCTATGGTATTCTGTTTTAACAAATCTAACCGACTAAGATGACATCTGAGTTAGAGACCACCAAAGGAGGTAACAAGTAAGTTGGATGGAATGATCAACAGAAAGAAATTAGAATAAGAGATGACCATGATCGTATAGCCCTCCTCAATACAAAGAAATCTTTGACAAAACAAATGGACAGTCTATAGAATATGAATACAAATGAAGTTAGAGCAATTTTTATTTAAGTATTAAAAGACAATGATACTTGGTAATATCATAACCAATTATCAAAAAATTACACTATTATCTAGCAACCACAAGATAATCAAGTTGTAACCATACCATATTAAATGAAATAATTCCAAATGCATTGTCATTTGATAATATTGTCACAGTAACAGTCCGGGGCCATCCAAGCTTCACATTTGCTGAAGGATTCTAAAAAAAAAACCCAAAAATAAATTAATAATTTAAAAATAAGTGGAAAAAATAATCATTTTAACAAAATTTGTCTTTAAGTAACTATTAAGAATGTGAATAAAAATACAAGAATACTTTTAATGCACAGGTTAAATACATTTAAACTCAGTCAACACTGCAAAAGATTCCCAGCAAGAATTCTTGAAAAAAGTTTTGGAAATAATCACTGACTATTAAAATATAAATCATTATAATTATAAGTAATCAATGGCTAGTATTATATGTATTATAACTACTCTAATGTCATTACTGATGTGACAGAGAATAAAGTAAGCAGTATGAAATTCTATTCAAACATAATTCTTTTTCTTATACTTTAGAAGGTGCTGACATTTAATAAGTAGTTATTGCACAAATCATAGTGTCAAATTAAAAATAAAATATTAAGCCCTAGCTAATATGGTTCAGTGGATAGAAAGTCAGCCTGCAGACTGAAGGGTCCTGGGTTCGATTCTGATCAGGGGCACATGTCCGGGTTGCGGGCTCAATCCCCAGTAGGGGGCATGCAGGAGGCAGCCAGTCATTGATTCTCTCTCTTCATTGATGTTTCTATCTCTCTCTCCCTTTCCCTTCCTCTTTGCAATCAATAAAAATATATTTTAAAAAATAATAATAAAATATTAAAACTACTTTTCTAATAAATGTACGAAGACTTGTCTGCAACGTTACTTGTTATTCAACAACAGTATATAGGAATATAAAAAAAAAAAAAAAAAAAAAAGAGTGTACAGCCCTAACCGGTTTGGCTCAGTGGATAGAGCGTCAGCCTGCGGACTGAAAGGTCCCAGGTTCGATTCCAGTCAAGGGCATGTACCTTGGTTGTGGGCACATCCCCAGTGGGGAGTGTGCAGGAGGCAGCTGATTAATGTTTCTCTCTCATCGATGTTTCTAACTCTCTCTCCCTCTCCCTCTCCCTTCCTCTCTGTAAAAAAAAAATCAATAAAATGTTTTTTAAAAACAGAGTGTACCAAGCAAAACATGCGTGTTGCAAGTATCATTTTCATGAAAAGTTAATTATACTAATATAATAAAAAAAAAATTCTCAATACCCTTTAGAAAAATTAACTACAGCATTGTTAGGAGTCATTGCCTCAACCTAACAGATTAACCCACAAAGGACAATTAAACCTTAAGCTATTCAAGCATTTTTCCCAGAGATACTCCGAATTTATTCAAATGCATTGGGACCTCCCACTTCCATGCCTGCCTTTTTGTATCCTTCTCCTTTGAATTCAGAAGTCACGGTCATTTTTTGTGCATCTGGTAGCAGGGAAAGGACAAAAGAGAAAAGGGCCAAATGAAAGACAAGGTTTTCTTGAGCATCTGCCATGGAAATTCCTAAATAAGCTGAATGGATCCAAAAACTAGCTGTAGGATCTTCTAAAGAAGACTCTGAGGAATAACCAGACAGTGGAATTGCTAAAGAGGTTTTCAGTTCTGGTTTCTATGAAAACCACCACTTACCAGCTAAATGGGCTTCTCTCTAGAGAAATAGACTTATAAGCATTACAAGATTTTTATGAGTTTAAGTTTTCGGTGGGGAGGATTTACCTGTAATGTTAAGTGAAAAATAAAAGTCTCATCAGGCTCTGGTATGTCATCATCACATACTGCTATGTACACTGTCCTATTTGTTTCTCCAGCAGGTATAAAAGCTGCAGCGTATGTGTCAAAAAAGTCCCCGGTGTCTTCTCCATACAGCTATCAAATGTGAAATATAGACATTTCTTACACAGTGCAGTGTTAGGACAAGAAAACCTGACACCAACTGGAGCAATCAACAGGGAAAGCATGAATCATCAGGTGACACTATGTTTTTGTTTTGTTTTGTTTTGTTTTTATTGTCTAAAGTTTTACATATGTCTCCTTTTTCCCTGGTTGGCCATTCCCATCCCAGGCAAGCCCCCACAGCTCCAGTGAAATAACACTATATTTACAGATAAGATGTACAAAGGCAAATATTTAGCAACCAATAATCATCTTCAAAAGACATTATAAAAAGAAATGATGCTGCACAAAAACATTTGCTTATGCTCTGGAACGTAAAGAAATCACTACATAGAAAAGTAATAACTATAAAGGAAAGTATGCTGCGAATGTTTTTTCTCTGCCTCTTGATTGATCTGAAGTGAATTACAGCAAACCTAACAAGACAAACTGCAGCTAAAACTCTCCCAGCTAACGGTTGAAAGTAGCCTGGCAAAATGTATTAGAAAAATTAATTCTTTTCCCTATAAGTTTCAAAGAAACTGCTCTTTCCAAAACTTTCAAAATGAAATTTTATTTATATTCTCCCACAGCTCCAATAAAGACCCAATTCTTTTAGCATTCCAAACATACTAGTCATTATAAACTTTTCCTTAACTTTTTAAGACCTCATTCTATGTCAGCATTGCTAATAAGATTCTCAAGGGAACAATAATTATGAAATTATAAAGCAGCAGCTTCTTGTGCAAATCAAAATGAGATTTCTTTTACTAATAACTCAAAATGAATAACTTAGCTACTAGAAAATAAATAAAAAGTAAAGGACATGTATAGGCAAATTTTAGTCTAGCTCTAATTTTCGTTTATAATAAATTACGTTTTAAACACTTGATCCAAGTAAGTTCCCAAGGGCCGGGGAAAAGTTGTTCTCATAATTTAATATAAAAAGTGGCACAGTCATTTAGAAAATAGTAAATATCAAGAGTCACTGAAACAAAGGGGGAAAACACGTCATCCAACCAAAGAAACCATTTAACAATCCAAAATATGCAAAAATAGGCCCAGCCGGTGTGGCTCAGTGGTTGAGCGTCAACCTATGAACCAGGAGGTCATGGTTCCATCCTAGTCAGGGCACATGCCTGGGTTGCAGTGGGCTCGATCCCCAAAGGAGGGTGTGCAGGAGGCAGATGATCAATGATTCTCTCTCATCATTGATGTTTCTATCTCTCTTTCTCCCTCTCCCTTCCTCTCTGAAATCAATAAAAAATATATTTTAAAAAATCAATACATATATAAATAGTTTCATTAAAGCAACATTTCTAACAACACAAATTGACAGCAACCTCAATGAAAAATAGTTGAGGAATGATTGGGAAATGATGACACCACTATCAAGAAAAGCTGAGAATAGACCAACCTGAAAAATGTATTAAAATACAAGCAAAATTATATGTACAAGATTATCAAGTATAGTATATATCAAAAAATAAACTCAATAACTATATACATATATGTAATAAGTTAAAAACTAGAAGTAATGCACAAAAGTGTAATATTAGGTTTGCTGCATATGTAGTTTTTCTCTTTGTCTCTCTTCACATTATTTCAGAATGTGATCATATAACCTACTGCTTAAAAACTTCTTTCGGAAAACAAAAATCTCAAGCATTTTGAGCCTCAAATATAATAATATCCTTAGAGGTCATATGGCAGTACTTTTTGGTTAAACATAAACACAACATGCACACTCAATTCATCCAATAATCAAATTGTGTGTAAGAGTTTAACAAATTCTACCTAATTTCAATGTAAGCTGATCTACCTAGTTTCTCCTAATAGAGAGACAGAGAGAGAGAGAGAGAGAGAAAGAAAGAGAGAGAGAGAGAGAGAGAGCTGTGACATAACTAAGGGTTTTTTAATTGCTTTTTTCTACTTTTAAATATTTCATATATTTACTAAAGCCACCTGACAATAGATAATATTTTCAAGCAGAGACAACTAGAATCCAAATTACCCAAAATAAAATATTCTTTTACTTAGAAATACTTATTGATATTTTTGTTTTATTTGTTTTAAAATAAACATGAACATTTTAAAATAATCAGTCTATGTCTTTATTTTTTTTTTTCAGTCTGTATCTTTAAAATACTATTATTGACAAACACACAGGCCACCTTGGAGCACTCCACTCCATAAACCTGTATAAATGGAACAGTGTATATGCAAATCATTTATCATGATCAAACTACTCAGAATCTCAAACAGTTAAAAAAAACTCTTGCCATGGAAACTGAGAAATTTAATATATATTTCAGTTAAGGATAGAACTACAATCGTTTCTTACCGACACAATTGCTGTGACATTTGCTGGCTCTCCTATCCTTTCGATGACAAGACGAATAACTGTTGTACTTGTTTCATTAACTACAAATTCTGTTTGTCCAGCAAACCTTATTTCTGTTTCTCCAAACACAAAAGAGATGAATAAAGCTGAAAGAAGATTTACGAATAAAGATGTAGAGGGCATCCCTATGGGAGAAAAAAATTTGTTCACAAAACGTATCTAATACATTTTCATTTGACTGTATTGTCTACAAATATAAACAGAGTGAAGAGTTACATAGCAAGCAACCACAACATAAATGCAGCAAATACTAAGCCATCCAATTCACATATGTGATCACAGAAATAAATTAAAAATCACAAACTCTTCTGTGGTTCCTTTTAGTATTCATAACTGTCTTATTCTTTATCTTATATATCAAGATAATTATAACTAACCTTAAACTTACTTATCAAATTTAGTTTATTAAAAAAATGACCCTCCAGCCCTAACCGGTTTGGCTCAGTGGATAGAGCGTCGGCCTGCGGACTCAAGGGTCCCAGGTTCGATTCCGGTCAAGGGCACGTACCTTGGTTGCGGGCACATCCCCAGTAGGGAGTGTGCAGGAGGCAGCTGATGTTTCTCTCTCATCAATGTTTCTAACTCTCTATCTCTCTCCCTTCCTCTCTGTAAAAAATCAATAAAATATATATTTTTTAAAAAATGACCCTCCAGCTCTAGCCAGTTTGGCTCAGTTGATAAGAGCACACTGGCCTGCAGAATGAAGAATCCCAGGTTTGATTCCCAGTCAAGGACACATATCTCAGTTACAGGCTCCGTCCCGGCCCTGGTCAGAGCTCATGTGGGAGGCAACCAATTGATGTGTCTGTCTCTCTCACATCGATGTTTCTCTTTCTGTCTCTTCACCTCCCCTCCACTCTCTCTAAAAATTAATTGGAAAATAACCTCAGGGGAAGATTAACAACAACAAAAATGACTGTCCAATTTATTCTAAGAAAAACATAAGTAGCAACATGAAAGCTTAATTAAAGCCCATCTTCCCCCCCAAATGAAACTAAAATACAAGCAAAACTAAAAAATTACTGAATGGATCAATAATCCTAATGGAACTTACTCATCTATTTATTTGATCAAACAAATATAAGAGAACTCTTGAAACAGGTATACAAAGCAGTTTAAACTAAAACTCTACAAATAAATTGATTTCTTTGTTGTATCTACGTTTTCCTTAAATTTGTCTTATTTGAGACTGCTTTCTAAAAGTTTTGTTATTTCAAGTAAATGCTAATCCTTTCAAAAAACTCAAATTTCTCCCATTTTGCCAACTAAAATACTAATACAACTTCCATGTTGCTTTAAGAACAAGCAAATTTGGCAAAGTGTGCATTTCCATAACTTCTATTGTTTTCTTCTTACTACAATGTGCATGTCTGTGAGTCATCAATATGATTCCCACTTTCAGCACTGTGTGCCTCAAGTGCTTTCACAAGCACACAGAGCAGTGGCCTCTTGAAAAGCACCGCTGTTTTGTAATGTAGATGTACCTCTAAAATGTGAACAATTTATCTCACGGATCATTAAGATTCCAATGGATTATGTGATTAGTCACACGAACATAACAAGTTCATGCATTTTAAAGGGGAGTTGTATTACGAACTCTATAAGCCAAAAATGCTTCCTATTAATCTTTTTTAAAATTTAAATTCTTTATTGTTTAAAGTATTACATGAGTCTCCTTTTCCCCTATTGACCTCTCCCCAGCCGCTTCCACCCCCAGTACATGCCCTCACCCCCCTACTGTCTGTGTCCATTGGTTATGCTCATATGCAACTTCCTATTAATCTTTACCTTAGTCAAGAAATAATTAAATGTTCATGTATGTGGTTATTTCCACGTGGCAATACATGGCTTTATATTTAGGAACCAAGAAATAAGTAAGTTTTTGACATATGTTAAGGTTTAAATGAAAATTTCTCAGTCAAGTATATTCAAACATTGCAGTCTGAGATTGCTTAATGTCTCACATGCTTATGGCAGCAAAATCCATAGGCAGGGATGCGGGATTCAGATGGAGTCCAAAAAAGAGACATAGGCCAGAGGTTCTGGAGGACTAGGGCACCTTTTACTAGTACACTGTGCCTTCTCTCTAAGAAAGCCTGCCATGGGCTAAGGGACTGGGAAAAAATAAAAGAGGTCTCCCTTACCAGCTGCAAACTCCTCCTTGACTTCTAAGCCAGGAAGGTTTACAGAAAGAAAGGAAATGAAAAATACGAGAGAAGGGAAAAGGCAAAACCTGGGTGAGACAGGCAATTGGGAGCAGTTCCAAAGACAACTGAAGAAGATTTTTTGAGGAATTCTAGGGCCAGAATGGTTTCACACCTCACTTATGACAAACAGTGGAAAAGAAATGAACTAGAAGGATCAACTTTGGTCCATTGTGATTTTTGAAAGAAAAATCTCAATTCCTTGAACATGAGATGGGATAGAACCTTGAGCTGAGAGAAATAAGACGACACCTGAAAAAGTTCTAAGTGAGAAACAGTGAAAGTGAAAAGGGGAAATCATGACTAACTGGGAATATAAATTCTCAAAATTTGTCCTGCATAAGAATCAATTTAGACCTTTGTCAACATTCTTATTCTCACACCCAGAAACTCAAATCCAGTGAATTTAAGGTGGGGCCCAGGAATCTCCACTTAACAGGCAATCTGGTTGATTCTAATACAACTGATCCTTGGGATACACATTGAAATACACTGTCCCAGAGTGTGAGGAAGAGTGTAGCTTTAAGTTAACTACTGAATTTTTCAATGCAATATGCTTGAACTTCCTGTAGGCTTCCTCATATATTTTTCTACATATTACTATATTGCATTTTAAGATTCCATATATCCTATAGAAAAATTATAATGACCTACAGATAGTAATCAGAACAGCAAATGCTTATATAGTATTGTCCTAGGTACTTTATACACAATAACACATTTAAACTCTGTGAAGAAAGCACTAAAATTAATCCCGTTTATAGATGAAGAAACTAAGAAAAGAGATGAACCCATACAGTCTTATTTAGTTAAGTAAGCGGCTAGGCAGGATTTGAATCCAGGAGTCCACCTTTCGACTCTACCCAATAACCACACTATATTGCCTGTTACATTTTATTCATACAAATCATACATATCCCTTGAATAACATAGGTTGTTTATGCTATCCATTTCAAAGAATTGAAATATTTTAAACTCATGCACAATAATCAAAATTACCATAAAACTGCATAATTATGAGTCTCCTAAAAGTCTGCACCTTATTATTCTGATAAACATTACAATTATTTAGCTGAAGCTAGTTCTCTTGACTACTTTAAATATTTAACAGCATCTGTTAATGTCAGGACCCATGAGTTCAAATGGTGTATTCTTGCAGTTTCCCAAGCAATTAGAGCTCTGAGATCTTGTGGTTAAGTCAGTAAATTCATTTTAAATTGGTGTACATTAGTGAGTTCTGGGACTATACAAAATGAACAGACAAGCGTGATTGGAAAAGCCTCAACTTCAGTGACATCACTGATAATTGAATCTCCTCTGCTTTCATGCTTTCAACTTTAAGAAACGTTGTTGAGGCAAAGTTGGCACTCAATGGAAATTAAAAGATGAAGAAAAAGCTTTGAAGGTGAAGTTCCCACTGGAAAACAGGCATAATTATATAAATGCCAAACAGTTTCTCTTTTGGAATAACTAGGTACATTTTCCTCTATCATACTAAAAATCTAGTATTTGGAACTCTATTAAATTCAGAAGACTGGTATTAGTAACTGACATAACACTTAAATCTTATATCTGTTTCAGGTCACTTTTTCTCATTAGATTTAATAAAAGTTTTGTATGACCCATCAGACCACCTATTTCAAACCTCTATAAATTTCTAACTATATTTAAAAATTATAATATGCTTATTTCATATTCTGTCACAACTGTGAAAGAATAATTTTAGCAGTAATGTGTCATTCTTCTGCTCTGTAATGCATGATATTCCAGTACTCGAGCCCTCCCATTCCAACTAGCATCCATGTAATCCTCAAACCTCCCCCTCCTGTTCAGTATGATTCAAAGGAAATAAAAAGTGTTCCCTGATCATAGATCTCTTATGGTGTTCAAGCAATATGAGATCTAGGTTACTTTCTTACTTCTTACTTCCTGAATTATACCATGAAATTCTGACAGAGTCCTGATAGCATGTAGGCACAAAGTCTTAGGTTCTTAGATTCTAGTAAACATATTCAGCCTACCCAACAAGTTACCATTCTTGGGGGGGGGGGAAATTAAAATTAGGAATATATTAGAATAGCTCCTATAATACAAATTGCTTCCTTTCAGAAGAGCAGCTTACATTTTAGCATAATATTTGTATTCTTAGCACCTACTCTACATTGTGCAACACCCTGTGCTAATCTTCAAGGACACAAAGGCCCATAAGACATGGTCCTTGGCTCCAACATATCCACAGGGATGGACCAATCAAAGTCAACAAGACATAATTCTGAGACTTTTGCTTAAACATCAGAATGCAGAATCCCTGTACCACTGGGTTCAGGACAGTGTGATTACGGCCAGTTTCCTCCAAAATCTGGAAATAAAGCCAATGCAGCCATAGAGAGCTAAGAGGTGGAGAGAAGTCAAGTCTTAATAATCAAGTTTAGGTTCCTGAATCCAGCCTTACACTGGCCTTTCAGTTACTGAGAAAATAAATTACATTTTTTGCTATAGTCAGTTTGGGTTGCATTTACAACATCAATATTTATCCACTAATCTCCAATCTGTGACATAGTGAACTCCTGTTAGGATATACCAAGTGGAAGATTCCTCCTCCTCCATTCTGACATTCAACAGTCTTACTCTCTTCTAAATATTTGTGAAAGGATACCACACTAGCTAACTATCTTTCCTATTCTCATACAACTATTACCATCTGTAATATTTTCCCCTCCACCTCGAAACTGACAATGACTAGTAAGGAAGTTTAGGACAGGTAGGCAAACAAAAGATATCTTCACAATAGAAAAAAAGCAGGACAGGAGTGTGCTGCATTAACTCAGTGTTCTGAAAAAGTGAATGCCCTTCTGATTGTCACAAGGAACCCTAATGTCATGCTTCTTTAAATTTGTCTGGCATTAATTCTTCTCTCTTGCCTTTTTTCCAGGATGCTAGCTCTTTCTTCCTTATTGAAAACGTACTGGTATTTGCTAACTGTATTCCCTACTTGGATTACTTAGCATATAAACATATTAAATGTCATTTATAAAACAACACTCACCTACACAATATATCCTAATAACTATGGAATTCTAAGTCTTGTTTATCGAGGATATTGCCTTCTTCCCATCTTGCCTCTTACGCATGGATACTTTAGGAAAGGTAGCAAGTATAGTATACTCTGAGTAAATGGGAATAGCTTTCTATTTAAGTTTCAAAAAGTCTTTAGAAATAAGGAATAGAATAAAGTGAAATAAGAATGGGGACCCAATAGATGACAATGTAAAAAAAAAAAAAAAACACCCACAAAACATAAAGATTTAATTAACTTTGCTGATTTTGCAGTATCAATTTTCACACAAAAACTTTGGTCAATTTGAAAGTTAACTCTGTCTTTTGACGTTTCAGAATAAACAATTGACAACATCTGTGAGTGGCAGAACAAAATGAAAAAACAATGATTATTAGTGCAGAATTGACTTTTTAGCTTCAGCTGTTGCCTTGTCAATGCTGTGGCAAGCTTCTTCCCACGGTAAGACCACCAGGTAATTAATACTGAAAATATGATCCTAATAGAGCAAGGTTTTCAAGTTTAGAATTACTTGAATTCTATTACATTTACTAAAGGGTATTCTAAAACTATAGAATTACTCCTGTGGAACAAGAGAAGTTTTATCATCCATATCATCAATTATTCAGCCTCTAAGAATTCTTAATCTGTGTTATTGTACTTGGCCAGTACTACAAAAAAATTGATCTTTCCTTCTTCCATACAGAACAAAATTTAAATTTGCAACTTTCAAAAAACATTGAATGTTACAAGGAGAGAAAATGCTAAATATTTTTAAATGATAAAGGGGGTAGTTTCTTACAGTTTTTTAAACTATATGAAATGTTTATTACCTTTATTTTTATTTTATTTAAAAATTTTAAGAAATACATATTATTTTATTCATCTTTAAAACACATAGACACACATGGAACTGTGTTAAAGAGAAAAAAAAGGTAAACAATGAAAAGTAAGTTTCCCTCACAACATTCCTACTTAGTCAATTACAGTTATCAACATCATCTGTCTCAAAAGATAATCTATGCATATATGTCCATAGGAGAAAATGCCTGTGATAGAGTTTGTTTTCTTCTGCATAACAGACTATAGGAATCAACATTATTTTTCAAGATGGTGGTTAATAAGTAGATAGATGATACATAGATAATTAGATAGATAATAGACTTCAGTGTAGACATTCATGATGGAAACACAGTCATTGTCTCAACTACACACCATCATCATTGTAGGTCTTGTATGTTAGAAATTATTGTAATATTAATCTTCCAGTTAACTAATACTTAAATTGGGCATAGAATTTCAGGTGAAAATACATTTTCCCATTATTTCTGAAAGTCTTGTTCCATTGTTACAGTTAGAAAATCCAAAATGCTTCTGATTCTAAAGTGATGCATGTAATTGCTTATTTGTGTTGTTCTCTGCTCTGGAAGATTCTTCTCTTTGTCCACAGGTGTTATGAAATTTCACAGGATTTTTCTTGGAATGGGTTTATTTTTGTCCCTTTGGCTGAGCAATCTCCTGCAATCTGACACTTATCCTTCAGACCTGGAAAATTTCCTTATACTATTTCACAATGATTTTGCCCCTTCCATTTTCACTGTTCTTTCATCCTAAAACTCCTATTATTTAATATCGGTAGTCTGGGGCTGAACCTTTCATTTTCATATCTTTAATTCGCTCTCATTTCTAATTCTTTGATTTTTGCCCTACTTTCTGAGAATTCATCATTAAATTTCAATTCTCCTACTAATTTTTTTATTCACACTATTATGTTTTCATTTCTAAGAATTTAAGGGTATCCTGTTATTTTTCCATTAACCAAATACCACCTTTTATCTCTTGGAAAATACTGTTTTATTTAAAAAAAATTCTGTTCTCTCTGTGCTTTCTGTTTCTTTCTATTCTATAATACTTATTAGATACCATCTACTCTTGCTGCAGGACCTAGGCACCTGCATTTTCTAAATGAATTATTTGTACTCATGGCAGTTAAGGGAGAGAGCTTTATGTAATAAATCCAGAGCCTTCAACCCAGAACAGGCCTACAGACACATGCTGTTCTTTAGTCCAAATTGTGTTTCCAAAATAATACTAAAAGAATTTGGGTATTTAAAGATTTAATATTTGAAGATTCTGCATTTTTAAAAAAATGAATTTCAAGATTATTTTCAAAAATTACCAAAACTGGCAAATCTGAGTCCACACTTTTACATAAGCTTATCAATTGGAAGGAGCTAGCAACAGCTGTTATTTAGACAGTTTGCTCTCCTATACCCTGCCAATGTCTCCTCAGTGTAGGGTCAAAGGGAAAGAAAAATATTTCTTATATTGTCATTCAAAGCAGGAAAAATCAGACATAATTGTGCACGCACGCACACACACACCTTGTGGGCTGCCTCCTTTCAGTGTCCCAGGAATTTGATTTTATAAGACAGTGGCAAAGCATTCCTGGCAGTGCCTACCGGGATATCCTGCCACAGATGCTATGAAGCCTCTACCTGGACACTGCCAGTGTCCCTGAGTATTAAGCCCCCAGTTATCTCTAATAGGAGGCAAGTGTTGGCCTCAGAGTCAGTCTTGGGCTCTACTGTAGTCGCTGCCATCTTCCCAACTGTGTGGCTTTGTAGATGTCAATTCTCTTCTTTTGGCCTCGAGTTAAAAGGTGGAAAAAAGAACAGCTATAGCATTAGGGCAGCTGTGAGGCACAGTATACCATGAAGTGCCAGATTCTAGGCGCTGGACCTTCATGGTTCACATGGTCAAGAGACCAAAGAAAACAGGATGGATTGGGCATCTAAGACTCTCCCGTGTGAGGACCATCCTCAACTGATAGCTGGTTTTTATTCTATTTCCTTAACCAGTTACTTGAAGCAATTGCAACATATCTAGCCATATCATTCGCAAGCCATTCCCTAGCCATTAAGGGTCAAACTGTTCACCAGAATTCAGACCAATGGACTAGTCGGTTAGTGCCAATTTTCATGCAGAAAATAAATGCATCAGGGCCCACCAGCTGTGCCCTTAGAGCACTCTGCCACATACTAGGCAGGCAGTCACTCAGCTTTGTGAGTCTACTTTCTCATCTGTAAAATGAAGGAAGAAACTGACCTTACCTAGCTATTTTCACCTTGCATTTATTTACAAATTATCCGTTTTCTAATTCATCCATTTCTTCTTAAATAGTCATTTCTCCATCCAGATTGGTTTGTTATAGTATTTATAACTCATAAATTGAACATTAATTTAGTCTTCATTAGTGTTTAGCTCCTAAAACTATGGTTTTGCTCCAAGTATAGCTTTGGCTGTATCTTGTATGTTTTGATAAGTTGAGTTCTTGCTGTTATGATATTCTAAAAAGCTTGTTACTGCAGACATTAGTTCCTGTGTAACACAAAAAGTATTTAGAACTGGGTTTTCTCTTGTTCCTCAGAAGGGAATTTTTAAAATTTATTATTTTTTTGTTTGTTTTAATAAAAAGTAGGCTTTTTTTAAAAACAATAACACTGTATTTTTCTGGTAGTCATTTTCACTTTATAATTGTGACACAAAACAGAATTTCATTAACAATGATATACAGAAAAATAAACCTTCTGTTCTTTGGTCTTGTCTGAATGTTGTTAAGGTAAAGAAGTTTCTTTGAAGTGACCACACTGGCTAAATACGTGACGTTCAAATGAATTAGGTAAAGTGCTAGAAGATCACTTATGGTCCAGCTAACCAGTTCCTCTTTCCCATTTGTAAGGTATTTATGTGTCTTGTGATCCATTTCCTAACCGAAACAAAATACTATATAGATAATCAATCCCTTCAATTAATAATTTTCAAATTTTCCACAGGGTTCCTAAAACTGTATAAAATTCTAACATTAAAATAAAAGCCTTAATTTGAACACCCTCTACATTTCCCCCAGCTACTACAATCCTTTCACAACTTTAAAATCTATAAAACCTAAGCCTAGATTGCAAACATTTCCATCCCAAGAAGCTTGAAGCCAATGACCTTACAACATTAATTTATTTCTTCATCTATCTCACACACATTGAACTTAAGAAATAGATTTAATGTCATATCAACATGCTACAATGTTTTGTCAATACACTGCATCGCTAAGGAAAATCACTGAGTTGAGCTTTTCTTGCTGTCCAATTACAGAGTCACTTATAAATTTAAAGTATCATGATAAAGCCTAAAATCCATTTTTTGTAAATTTCTATAATGCTTAGTAAGATTACAAAAGTATTTCTACCAAGCAGATCAAAATTTCCAAATGCTAAAATAATCTTCACAGAATCCACTGAACACTGTTTAGCTCCCTCTGAAATGCCACTAACTCCA